ATCAAAAATAACATTATTTAAGAATCTTTAATAAGTGATGCTTGGGAATGATGGTAATGGTGATGAGCGGTATTGACTAAACAATAGCAGAGTTTAATTCACATGTTACTGATGACCTAATTAAAAACTGGTAATCATATTCTAAGAAGAGCATTTAAGCGTGTCTTTTTTTTTAATGAGTTTACATTTTTTTCAAATTACTTATTCTAATAATTGAAATAAGTTCTATTAGTTCACTTTATTGATGGAGTTTTGAAGAAACATATGTTGTTGAAAATCCTTTTTTCTCACAGAAAACAACAAAGAATTTAATTAATTTATCAAATCCACTCATTTCAAATAATGTTTTTGGGATAAACGTTTCTGTGTATTTTCAACATGTAAGTGTACATGAGCATCTTTCTCAAAATAGTGTTACTGTCTGTCGCATGTAAACAATGTCCCTAGTATTTCTAAACGTGTCATCCGGAACTACTTATTAACTAATCGGGTGTAGACAAAGTAAAGTTTTTTCATTATACAATGAGCGAAAATTGTTTTTTACATCAAATAACAAAACATCTACATAGACTGTAGAAGTTGCATTATATTTCTACTATGCATGGAAATAATTAATCAGACTACACACTAACATTAAGATATGTGGATAAACTCTACTCTTTAGGTTAAATTGTCTTACATATGATTTAGAAATTAAGAAGATTGTTTACTGTTAGTTGAGCTTCTTATCAACTTAATAATTTATCCCTACGCAAAATATTTCAAAACACATCTGTTCAAACTATTTCGACTGAATGTTTTTACCTATGGTGGCTGGATAGTTTCTAAAAATGATAGTGAGATTCTAATAAATGAACTAAGAAAGACAGAGTAACACACTCGATGCCGATTCTATAGAGACGTTGTTAAATGGTCACAGTTCCGGGCGTGTAACTCACAGGATAATTTATACATGAATAGAGCTGAAGACTTGAAAGACATGACGGAACAGCTTTAAGTATTGAATTATGATGATGCTTCTCAAAAAGACATCGTACATTATTAATTTTCTTGATTCATAAGTTACGAAAATCAAAACTCTTACTCAAATATTAACTGCATTATCATATTATTTTTACATTTGATAATATTTAACTACTTAATTAATACTCATACTTTTACTTATAATTCAACTGGGGTAGCAAAGATATTTAAAATGGAATAAATTAGTAAACTTTAGATTCATTTACAGAATTAAGATTGAAACAAAGTAAAAGAAAGATGTAATAGTTCGAATCACAATTTATTTAAAGTATTATTCTGAGTAATAAAATGCAAACAGTGGTCATATTTTGTTTGGGTTTCCTGTCTCAATACTGCGGAAAATTGATCTCTCTGCTACTAGTGTGATCATTTAACCTCTTATTACAATAGTGCATATTAATATTTCGCTCCCTAAATTAAGAAATTAATGTTGTCATTCAACAAGACAAGGCCGATTTTCCGTCACCTTGATCTTCTTACTTCAATTTATATTCAAAATCTGAATCAACCTATATCAGATTGAACCTGTTGATGTGTTTTACGGATTATGTTCAAATTGTGATTGCAAAGAAACTCTGTCTCCCTTTGGAATAAAATTGAAATTTTAAAATAAATTTACTTTGACAGCTACTTACTTATATCTGCAAACAACTGTTCAAGTTAATTAAGCATATCAAATGACGATTACACTGTGGTTCAGTGAGTTGAAATACATAAGGAATTTATCAATTTAGCTTCATCGAGTCCAAAAATGATTAATTTAGAGTATGACATTTTACGCCACTAACTCAAAACTCTAGAGTAAGTTTTCCTCTATCTGCCGTGAAATTCCGCACTATTTACTTGAGCAGTTAGTATTTCCTAAATATATATGTTTTATTTTTAAAGTTAAAACCAAAAAAAATTGTCTGGTCATGTTTTAGAAATACAAAAAAACTTTACAAGGTCAGTACTTTTTTCTTAGTATATCAAGACCTTATTTTTAGTATCCATTACCAATAACATAAGGTTTCGCCTGAGTTATCAGGTCTATCGAAATCAAATAAAACAAATCAGTTATAAACAAACATAAATCATACGCTTTTTGAGCAGATATATCACAAATTATTATATTCTTATCCTTGTAAAGACACTTATAGACCCGTTCTATAGGTGTCGAAGAGAAATAAAAGAAAACTGTGCAGCTATTTTATATAGGTGAAAAGAAGTGACATTAAAGCAGATGGTATCTATTTAGCTATTTATTTTTTCATCGATACACATTGTTATAAATGACAGCTTCTGACGAGTACTATCATCGTTTTATTCATAGTAAAAATATCGTTGAGAAAAACAAATCCTATCAGTTTCATTTAAATCTGTTACCTGATTATAAGATGAAAAGAATTAATCGAATATTATTCTTCGAAATATAATAGGTAGTATGTATAAATCAAATACAATGAACTACTCATCATTTTACTTTGAGTTTTAATACTATCACTCGAATCATATTTCAATTTACTCTCAATGAGCTATTCAGAATAATAACCTACTAACCATTATCTGACTATATCATAACATTTATTCATAAAACTTCAGTTTTCGAATTTCATTTCATTTTTTTGTATATTCCTTGTGCTAACTTACTTTATAGCAACAGTTTCTTCAACAAAGTGATTTCTCAGCTCTGTATAAAAAAACTATTTTAGTTAGATCAAGATGTCTTGTCGAACTGAGTGAATATGTATTATTTATGTTTACTTGTTATTTCCGTGGTGACATGTTTCATGGTACATTTCCATTGTTCACCTTGATCACTAAGTTAATTTGTAATACTATGACTAAACTGCCATAAATGCATTACTACAGTGAACTTTGTATGCTAAAGTTCAACGAGAGGAATGTCTCTGAATAATATTTTATTGCTCTAGGAACTCAACACCATGACTATTGTTCCGTACAATATATTTAGTCACATTATTGGAAATGCCACTCACAGACACTGTATTTTAACTAACAGATTTTGTATTGGGTTTAAGTGAAGTTAATCTGAATTTATTTTATCAACAGGAAATAATTTCATTCATGTATACAAAATTGCTGGAGTGATCCAATGGCCTTTTTTTTCTGCTTTAGATGCTAATTAATTATCATTAGTTAAATCGTTATTCATTAAACAAATAACTGTCTCTGTTGACTGACAAAATTGGTTCATAAACATATTAAAAAGGGATTATTTATTCGTTTATTTATTGATTTGCTTTTTACTGCATTTACCATATCGTTATTTATTTATGATGTCAAGCCTATTACTTATCACAATGGCAAGTTAGATAGATCCTTCTATCTTTGAACACTGTGAAAATGGCTTAGTATTATTTAGTTTGATCAAACAACTCATAGTAATTACTCTATGAACCATTAAAATTATGATGAGAATGAAAATTCAACGAATGGTATTTATTCTGCCTTGAGAAATTTACTGTTCTATATGCCCAGTTGAAATGTAAATTAAGTTTTATTATTTATTTCACAGATAAGACGAAAGTATGAATGAAATAATTGTTAGTAAACCTTTGATTCACGTTTTGGTTTAGTCGGCATTTATTTATATTGCTTTCTGATAACCTTAGGGAGGGGGGCAAATTCTCTGTATATTCACAGTATTTCGCTTGTCATTTAACCGTTTTCAGTGATGTTTTATGCTCAATTACGTTTTAATTATGATTTTTTAAGTATTACAAGTTTGTTCAACTATTTTTAAGGTATTTTCTTTACTTGAAGTACACTATCGTATTTAAATAAATCTGTTTATTCACTGAGGGATATTTAAATTTATACGGTTATGTGTGCTAACTTTGATAGCTCACCTTTTTAAGACTAGTTGTTTACGCATCTTCGTAAAAGTTACACAACATTAAATATTCCATTGACTATGATATTATTCTACAATACTGGACAACTTTCATTATTGCTTCGTTACCTAATCTACAAACTGTAGAGAAATTAAGCTAATCAAACTAAAAATAAACATTTGACTTGTAAACTTAATAAAAACATAAACTTTTGCTTGACTTCATACTTAATCTCGAAAACATAAATGATGCTTAATGTTCTGATGCCACATTTCCTAGACAATCATGAATATTTAATTTTTGTGGAGCAGACACACTCCAATTCATAACGTCAAGCTCTCTATAATTAACTGTGAGTGATGCATTAGTGATGTCTACCGGCTCCCAGGAATCTAAAATTAGCGCCGACTTCACCACCATTAGTTGCCTATAGTTACTAATTACTTTCAAATCTTAGTTTTATTTATTCATTCTACAAACAGTGAAACTTAACCTATGATCCTGAAATATAATTATTCAAAAATTCAGTTTTAAATTTCGGAGGGTCTGGTACACCATGACTTAATGCTGGGTGGAAAAGTGCCACCGATCATACTTTTGCAACTTAGTCCATCATCTTTGTATGTGCAATTAAATCTTTCATCAAGTCTATCTCAGTTACTTTATTTCTGGATGTGGATCATTTTTTTGATATAAAGATTTTTAATTTCAATGTAATGTATAACTGAACTGGCACGTATTATGTAACTTATGTAAATATTAGGATCCACATTTTATTTTCCTATATCATTTTATTATATTAGGAGAAATTATTATTGAAATCTTGTTGCTTTTTTATTAAATAAGACCTCAGGAGCTGTAAAATTTTGAAAAGTAAATTTTTGAAACTATGTTAGTCAAAGTACTTGCATTTGCTTAAAATGGAAAGAATATTTTAACTAAATGATATCTTTTTAGAGTGTATAGTAAAACTTGAACAGATATCCAGTTACAAACTGATAAAGAAGTGATATCATGTTGGTTTTCATAAGCTTTAAATTCAGTACTCACTTCATATTTTGGTAGTAATCCTGTAGAATTGGTTTTACTGTATTATTTCGTACTTGTAAGATAACTGTAATTTCTATTGACTTCATGTAGCACCATTTCTGAAATCAGACAGTTACTGCGTCATTGAATGTGACCTGAATACCCAAATTCCTGTTAATGGAACGTGCAAGGACTGTCCAAAATCTGGATGTCCTGAACGTAAGTTTTATGTAAAGCGTTTTACGTAAAATTTTATAAACATTTACCCATGCTACTAATTTGAAAATTTGTAATTTCATGCCAATTGAAACTGAAGGGATCCGCGGAATATAAATATCTTCACTTTTTCAAATTGTTGGTAAAACTTTCATGACTTTTCCAATAATTACTTGAAAGCATACCGAAACTCATATTTCCATCGGTTGTTTCGAGTTTAAAAACTGGGGTATTGACAATTATGAAAAATCTACTTCTTTGATATGAAATAGTCATTTGCCTACTTTTTAACGCTGTTGACTTTGTGTATGCATTGTACAACACATTGAAGCAACTTCGATACCGCACATTTTTTACAATAAATACAGATAACTTTTTACACTTGGAACGATCAACTCATTTTTTAATGTGTAAATTTACCGGTAGATGGATGAATTCATTTTCACTGATGCTTTATGATGTTGAGACAGATCACGTAAAAAATAATAAACTATAAGTAATTCCATATTCATTGTCACGACATTTAAAATGCATCAATACATCATCAAAACAAAATAGAAGAATTACTACTTCATTTCAACAGGTCATAAGATAGCGGGAAAGTTTCTTCGAGTTTCAAGTTTGTTGTAAAACAGCTCAACTTTACACAGGCTAGATGAATTTAGAATACACCAGTTCTGAAAATGAATTGAATTTTATACTTTCAGTTTAGGAAAGCATAATAAAACTGAAGTAAAGCGTAACAGCTGAGTAGAAATAAAGCGTTTGTAAATGTATCCGGCTTAAAGTGCTCGCGATGGCAGTAATAATTTATAACCACCATGAACATTTGAACGATTTTCTTCTAATCTCACTTCCAGTTGAGTTTTCAATTGTTCATTCCAAAACTCTGTAGATGTTGAACGTTTTATCTACATGGGAAAATAAATTTACACCTTAACAGGAAATCATATTTTCGGTTTAGTTATTAATAAGTTATGACAAGCTGATAAAGGGTTAGTTCGTGTTTACTCTGTTTGGAATTCTCAAACATTAAGATGAAATGAGATGAAAGTAAGAAAAATGTGGATTCTATAGAACAGCTTCGTTGAATTTCAGAGTCAAGACTCTTCTACGTAGTATTTACGGTTACTTGTTCTTACTTTTAAGATTGTATTTACGAATATCAACCACTTTTTGATTTACCGATTTCGTGCTTACAAACAACAATCAAACACTATTACCTGGAAACGCACGGTGTTAAACATATATTTTATCCTCTTAAACCGTTTACGCAATGTACCTTGTTCAATTATGATGTGAAACAAATTGAGTCAGATCCAGGCTTAATTTTTGGTAAAGGACATTCTGTTTGACATAGGAAAATGAGCATGAAATGTAACTCGTTTTGACAACTTTGCTTAGTTTGAGGTATATGAGACAGTCAAATTCATTCAAAGGTTTTTCGTAAAACAAACAATGGTCTTATATTTGAAACATCAAGTGTAAAAACCGGATAGCTTTCAAAATGATAAAATTTCTATCTTTCCGTAAGTTTTTTTAATCCATCATACACCTTTCTTCTACATATACTAAATCTCCTAAAAGCAACAGTTAGTTATATTTCTTAAATGTTTATAATTAGTTTACTTCCTTAGACAGTCCTTATACTTTCTTTCCTGTTTGAAGGAAACATGTCCACATTTCGGGTGGATAATGTAATTTGAAAACGTTGATTGTATAATGAAACTCAAATATTATACTAACTAGAACTCCGAAGCCGTTCAAAAATGAACTGGAACATACTGTCTGAAAGAGTCTTGCACGGTTTAGCTTATTGTATCACAGCTTTTGACTATGAAACTCAGTGGTAACGGAAATACCAAGGTATTGTAATGATATTTTATACGTTGAGGAAATTATATTTCAGTAATACTTTGGTTAATTATTTAATTTATATCCTCTTATCACCGGGAAGGACATTTAAATTTGAGGATAAAGCTGTATCAAGGAAACTTTACAATCAAGTTTGGGTTGATATTTCAATTAAAAGTATATAAAATAGCTACAATGAGGTCCTTGATATCTATATCAAGCTTTTTAGACTAATATCTTGCTACAAATAAATATATCTAACTAAATATCAATACAAATAATGGAATTACTCTGTTGTAAGATTTTTGTAATATAAAAAGTCCCAAACATTTGCTTTACAAACTGGTAAGTTCCAAGTTTTGTTTTTCACTAATAATGGGGGGAAACTGAAACAATCTATTTCCAAATTCTCTATGTAAAGGACCTTTAGTACAGTCATTAAATAGTATTGATTATTTCGTTTTTCAGTCTATCAGTTAGCTTAAGAATAGGGATTGAAGTTGACTGTGCGAACGTTTAGTTTGGGCCTTAATACGAAGTAAATTAGTTATCTCTTCACTGGGATTTCACATTCAGGAATTAATTGAACGCATAAAAATACATTAGTAGATTTTTTCTGTTGTTTAAAATTACACCTAACTTTGTTACACCCAATCTGAGAGGATTCAAGTGTTCTACACCACTGCTCCGTGTAATTTACTAAGAAATACTAAAAATGATCACTGTATGCCATGAAAATTGTTGCTTCAGATTGTCTGTTAACTCAACCAACGTTTTTGGGATTAAGCATAAATTGCGTGAGGTATCGCACTGGCTGAGAATTTAATCTTGGTATTCTTTCACAATGATTGCTAATATGGGCTTCAAATGGACTGATTTTCATCAGAAATATTAATTTGATCATACAAGAAGTTTATGCTTCAGAAAACAATTCAAGCGATTTTAAATATTAAAACTTTAAGTTGATGGGCTGCTGTAACGATTAAACACTATTTTGAACTGATTAATCTTCTTAACTTTCCAATAATCTTTGCCTCTCGGTATTTCTGTGACGGAAATGCACATAAGAAAGATCTTTAAATTCACCATAACGTTTCAGTCAGTCAACATGAAGTTACTGTTTTCTTGAAACCAGAAATCTATTTTACAATTTTTCTTGTTGTTAAGCAATCGTTTTATTGCAAGGATGAAGGATTTTTGTCATTTTTTCTTAATTTTTACCACAGATTGTAAAGAAGAAACAATCTTTCTAAATGGAAGTTTGAATATCTTACAATCAAGTTCACTACGGAAATTTAAATCTTGTGTTTATTATACTGGTGGTTTGTATATAAGTAAAGAATCTTTTCAAAAAAGGTGAATTTGTGTTAGTTTTGTTTACTTCACGATAAAAGAATATTTGGCTATATTTCTTAAGATTATCTTATCAATACTGCCTTAGCTTTCCAAAGTTTACATTGTTTATTGTTTTACGAAACGAATGAGTTGTTAGTTGTAAATCATATTCTCAAATGAATTTTTATTATATTAGTTAGGTCATTAACATAATAAATCAAAGAATAAACTGGACTCAGAAAGGTATAAAAACTAACTGGTTATACACTCATTTGCAAAACTTCGATATGGACAACTTATTTGGATATCGTAATAAGTGACGATATCTAATGCGTAACTTCTAGAAAACCGAAATCGAATAGTTTACGGTATTCACAAAAATAATTTGTCTTACAGCATGGAAAGATTATGTCATATTTATTCACGACTCACATTTCCTCATACAAAATAACACCCTTAGTTATCCTTCGGATTATTATAATTTATAGTGACTATCATTCCATGTAATTTATTCTTACTTTTCTAGAAGACTTTAAGATATGTGATAATCATGTAACTGTATTGTCTTCAATATCTTTGTTAGGTTGAAGACAGTTACTGACAGTTCTATGTAACCAAAATTCAATATACGATATCAAACTTCCTTGATGGTAGTTTGATGATATATTCGCTTCAGTATTAAGACAAAAATCTATTAAAAGTACGAATTTGACCGTTATTTTTTAAATATCGGATTACAATTTTTGTACAATGATCCAAGCCGTCTGATATGCTTGCTCACTACCTATGTGAGTGCTTTCAAATTAAATTAACAAACTTTTAAGAGTGAGTTTATGGTACGTTATGAAAGTAGAAAGAGAGAGTAATTGAACTTAGATTTACGATTTTATTTCGTTTGCTTCATTATAATTAAATAATATATTTGTTAGTTTGAATTCATTGTTTGAAACATTTCTTGTTATTGATTATCGATTTTTTTGTTTTTTTTTGTTCACAGTTCACTGTTTCCAGATCCAATAGAAAATGTCAATGAACTCTACAATTTGTTGAGCCTGAAATCAATTGTTGGGTACATCTATTTTGATTTACGTGGAGCTCCAGAAGAATTAAAAAATCTAACATTTCTGGAAAATCTAGAATCAGTTGTTTTGGAAGGTATGTTGAAGTTATATTGCAAAAAAATATTTAGAAGTTCGTGGGAAACAAAATACATACTAATGACTGTTTGAAGAATTTATGGTTAACTAAATACTATGGACGAGTTTTTAGAACAAATAATTTTTAGAGCATCTTTTCTGACGTTTAACAGTATAGACTTATAACACATTAACCCTTGCAACTGGTTTGAACTATTAAATACCATTAATGTTTATGTTATTCACATACTACAGGTTTCTGATAGGTGGAACTAGGCTAAAAATATCTCTAACCTTTGGTGATCAGCGCTATTATCGTATCTAATAATTATGACAGAAACGTTCACTTACAATTACATAAACGACTCAATAATAAATGTACCCATTATTTTCTAAGATTAAAAGTATAACATACTTCTAAACATTTTCAGTGAAAAGTCAATCGCCAGGAGCAGTGATTACAATTATGAACGGAGAACATATCGAGTCATTTGGTTTCAAATCACTTACTAATATTGGGGGTTATGTATATTTGAAGAATATGCCGAAATTATGTTATATTAGTGCGTTAACAAAAATGTTACCTGTACGTATGATAGATGTACAAGATGAAGAACTTTGTGGTATGTTCATATTTTATGTATGATCATTTAAAGTTGCCTTAGATCTTATTGATCTTCTGTAAGCATTCTGATAATCTAGTTTATGAATAGACTCGTCTTACATATATAATAGTGGAGTATTATTTGTCTAAAGACATCTGAAAAGAAAAGAAACTAAAGAAATATTTGAGTAAAGTTGCCTTGCTGCACATAAATACAAATAATATATGCTTATTTTACTCCAACCTAACGATACAGACCTTGATGGAACTTTGATGTATTACAGCTGTGAAGGTTACATCCTAATGTATCGTGAAACAGATCGCATTCATATTTTGTAATAAAGTGCCACTAAATAGCATTCAAGTGCCTCCTAGAAATTATTTATCACTGACCATAAGAAAACGTTTAATTTTATGGAAAAAACCATTGTTTAGTCACGATATAACTCACCGAAAAATATTATTAATTTGTTATCACTTGTTGATTGAGAAATAACATATTTGCCGTTAAAACCAGCGCAGAGCTTTTCAGAGAGTTATGTAATCTTTATTGAGCCAAATCATTTAAAAATCCCGTATGCATCTCAATGAAAAATGTATTGGAAAAAGATGATGTTTGTGTCAGATACTTTGTCATCATAACTTACCATCTGTGATATATGATGATAACAATCTATAAAGTCCATGACTATATACATCATAAATATTCCATACGTTAACGAACATTCATTTTTTATTATTTAGTTGTAACACCGAAAAAAGGCAATGTAGCTACAATTGTGTAGAATAAAAGTGATTACTTCTTTAACAAGAATGTTTTAATAACGAATTCGAATTTCACCTCTTCATAAAAGAAATTATCAGTATACGGAGACAAAAACCAACTTGTCATAGATGTGGAGTTGAGTATATATTATCGCATTAGCTCACTTATGATTGTTTTAAAGTAGACAATATCGATCCCTAACACTTACTGATGTATACCTACTGTTTCATTTGCAACCTATTATTTGTCATCAAAAGCACAAAGTGGATAGGACACACAAAATTCTGATTTTTATCACTAGTTGTGTTCTAATGAACTAGACGCATCTCGCAACTAAAAAGTGAATCGTACTTAAGTACTGAGGTACTAATAATAAATAGATTTATTCAATATTATTTGTAAGGTAGAACAAGCACAACATAACCAACAGATCTGCAGCTAAGAGTGCTAGTGCAGTTGTGATAGGCGAACAAATTTCATGATATTTCATCATGAAAGTGATCGGTTGTCATTTATCTAAAAATATATTCAGCATTCATATTTCTAACAACAATATATAGCTTTATTTTTCTGTGAGATTTTGTTGGGTTACATCGGACTCATCACCCAGTGTACGCCTTGAGGACGAATTAACCTTCGTTAAATCAAGATTAACATCCTAAAAAGTCGGCCAATTTACACAAAATAACACCTTAAAAATCTCAATATTTACATCAGGAATAAATGATCTTTAGAAAATCTTACTATCACATCTGACCAGAATATATGTTCATAAAGGGACATGTCGATTTACTTTAAACTATGTATTTATGTAACGGTTATCGGTGATATCCTAAATTACCGATTCGAAAGTCGTTCATGTTGGGACAAAACAGACATTTTTGATCATGAAACGTTAGTCATTTTATTGGTTGAATAGTAGGTACGTATAAGACTTACTGATTACAATCTCATAGAAATAGTATCAGTAGTTGTGTATTATAAATCTCCTGTCCCTATTATAGCTCACATACTTGTTCGTTAGTAAATAAATATCAGCTTTTGTAAGCTAAACGATTTAGCATGCTTATGAAAATGTATAAGTGCGTTCTATCGACCACGTCCAACTGTAAAATATATACTAGTCTAGATCAGTCAGAAGTTGTTCATTATAAATCAAAAAGTACTCTGAGAAGTATTCTAAAAGGTGCCTAATCGTTAAGTTGACTGAAAAATTGATAGATAAGACATTCAACAATAATCTTTTCTATCTTCTAGCTCATAAATAAAACCAAATATGATATTGAGAAAATTTTTGTTCAAACTTAAACATGAAATTGTTCCGTCCAATAACAAATTCGATAGATTTCAGTTTCAAACACATACTAGGCACATAATCTCATTATAATAATTTATCTAATCAGCACGTTTTATAAATCCACCATTGAGACGATTGCAACCAGGCAGCTGGATTTAATGAGCTACTGAATAAGTTTAGTAGGAAACGAATTAAGCAGATGTCTGACGTGTGAACTTCGCTGGGATGAAACAACACAGGATACGATATTTTCAACATTTTTAGTTGTAGGTAGGAAAACTGTGAAATCACCAATGATCTCCGAGAAGATTGTAAATCAAAGAAACTCATGAAATAGCTTGATGAAAAACTGTTTTAAAGAGCAGTATTAGTATGTGAGTGAAAGTGAATTATTTCGTACAATTATTTAGTAAATTGTAATACTCCAGAGCTGAATGAGTGTTACAAATATGAGGCGAAATTTTCTGCATACCAATAAGTTGCAATTTGAAAAGATATGTATCAATATAACAAATCATGGTAGTTATAAACCTCCAAACACTACCATGATGTTATTTTGATGAAGTGAGAATTTACAATAATCAACATTTCAAAATAGCTTGCTGACGATGACAGTATGAGATATATATCTTTTTTTCCATTCTGTTATGAGGTTTTCAACAATTAGCACTGATATAATGGGTAATGTCTTAACTATTTTGAATGAGAGTAACTTGTAAAATTGGTTTTCGCCAATCGCCTATGAATTTTAACACATTATTTTTCCGTTAATGTTTTACCTATTAGCATGTTATTTTCTTAGAGAAAAAACGTTTCCGTTAGGCAGATATATTATCTTTTAATATTAGTTAATTCAAAGATCTCTCAGCCACTGCGTATCATTGTATATCATCCATCGATCAATATTCTGTTCATTCTTTTTAACAATTTAAAGTATGTTCGCTTAGTAAATCCTAAATGACAACAGTGGCGGCAGGCGAAAACTCGATTGTTGAGATATGAGTTATATTGGATGATGCATTGAAATTCTTATTGTTCCAGTTTATGCAACCATACTCATCAATTCATTTCTCAATGAGCTAAAAATTGAACAATATTCAAAAACTATTTAGTCTTACTCAATTGCAGCTTAAAAAGAATGTATCATTGAGAGAAGTTTTAGTTCATACGAAAGTTTAGGGGTTCTAAACAATTAATTCAGAAAGTCAATGGTAAGTCTAAAAGTCTGAGCTGATTGAAATTGAGTAGAATCGTAGGTGTCTGAATTTTCATAAAACTAATCAGCCTCAGCTCTGGAATCTTCATCTTAATATTCTGAATGCTCAGTTTAGTCTACAGCATATTCAGCTGATCAGTCCCTTTAAACCGCTTATCAAAGATACTCACGTAAACCATTGACAGCCACAATTACAGAATGTCGTTGCATTTCAAACCATGTGACAAATTTTCAGCTTAAAGAGGAGGGAGGGAAATCTAAAGCTTATGTTTGATTAGCCATCTGCTTTTTAATAATATGCACATTCTGTTCATTTTCTTGTAGCTAAACGTGGTCACGTTTGCCACAGTGAATGTTTACCAGAACTTGGTTGTTGGGGTGCTGAAGCTAATATGTGTGCTCATTGTTGTGGTTTAAAGGCTGGTGAGTATTGCGTGTCTCGATGTACAGATCATCCTGGCTTTTATGAACTTCCAACATCTTTCAATCATTCAATTCTGGGAAAGACCAATAATAATCCTGTTTGTCGAACTTTACCCTTAACTAAAAGTGACTTGGCAAAAATGGATGAACAAGCAATCATTGCATCCGTAGTCCCTTCAGAAACATGTGCCATCTGTCATCCAGAATGTGCTCAGACATGTTATGGTCCTAATGCAAATCAGTGTGTTGGAGAATGTAAGCACTACCAGGTAAGTTGCGAAGCAGTAAAACAATTATCAATAGAACCAAATAAAGCAAGTAAATGAAGCAATTCAATTGAAGTAAACTTGTTCAGACAATTGTATGTAGACGACCTATATTTTGATATAAGTAAATGTATGTTTTTCTAAAGACAATACAAGTCGAGATGTGTCAGAATTACACATTGGATAAATGAGATAAATGAGAAGATGTATATCAATGCAAAATAAAAAAAAGATAATCTGGGGAAAAATTGACCAAAAGATTACAGACTTTAAAATAAATCAGGCTACAAACTTGGAGAAAAAACTACTGATCAATTCTATCTTAGATAGTCCTTTCAAAAATACCTTAAAAGGTAAACATTCAATTACCCAGTATTCCTTTTATCCGATTAATTTCTGAATATATTTCGTTTACTAATATTTAGTTGACTATATAGAAAGTTATTTTATATGGGTCGACAAAGTCATTAAAGAGAAATACTTATCCTGTAAATCTAAACTTAAATGAAGAGATTAACTGTGGATAAAATAGGCTAAATTCCCCAAGATAACACTAACTTTCCCCTAACTTCCACTAAGTTTAAGTTTACGTTTTTACATTTCCTGTGTAGTGCTGTTTATTATGGAACCTAATTTTAGCCAGAAAGGAAAGTCATTAGGTTTTGCTTTTCAGAATTATTAGTATTTGTAGCTGCTTAATGGTTCGTCTATAAAAGCAATGTTTTTTACCTAACAACATTTATTACCACTATCAAGTTTTTTTTCAGCATGGTGATACCTGCTTACCTGAATGTCCACAAAATACATACGTAGATCCACAAACCCATTATTGTTTACCTTGTAATGAGTCGTGCAGTCACATACTGACCACTGGGAAAAATCACTTATGTAGTGGCCCAGGGAACTTTCTTGGCTTGGGTGGTTGTGAAACATGTTGGACAGTTATACAAGGTTAGTTATCAATATTAAATCTAATCTGGAATTTTTTGTAGTTATGCTTCCTTTAGAAACACGGAAATCAGCAAATTACTCTCAGTTGTGTCAAGATACGTAAACTAATTAAGGGTCTATCTGATTCATTGAGTATTCTACATATTCATGAAATACTTCCTAAAATGGGCTTCTTATTTTCGCTTATATCCAACCATTTAGATAAGTTAGATTAAGAATATTATTATGTATATTACATAGACACAATCAGATATTTGAATAGCAAATGCAGATTTTGTTGAGATCTATATAAAAAATTTGATATCTCTCAACAAATCATATGCTTTTGTTAGTTAACTTCACTAATCTTATTTAAGAAGCGCCTCAGGGAATAAAGAATAACTATTCTTTCGACATAACCAAATATAGTGACTTTCCTTTGGTGACTTGTTTCTTGATCACAAATGACGAAAGACATATCGGTATAACTGTTAACTCTTGTTTTCTCTTGTTTCCAAAGCATATCACTGAAATGAATTAGATCTATATTCAGTTTCTTAGATTAACTATTTCTTAGTATTATTCCTCTGAAAGGAAACATGGTACACTGAGAAACTCTGTACACCTTCATCACTCATTACTTTCTTCTTCCTATAGGCAGGAGTTTTAGAACCATTGTAAAGATTCTGATGTATGATATAATATCGTTTACTGGATGTAAATATCTTATAGTTGAACTTGCATCTCTGCTAGTTAACATAGTGTGTTTATCAAGGTTAGATTAGTAAACTATTGAACGATGACTCATTAGTCTGAAGGTTAAGAGCTCTTCACGAAGTCCAAAGAACCTGGGTTCGATCCCTTAATGGGCCGCGGATACTCATTTATTAGGAGCCTTAGACTGAGACGAAACGGTTGTCCGTTACATCTTGATTTTCAATGATTGTCTAATTAAAATCAGTCTGTGATGTTGAATTCCGAATAGTTTGTTCATGCCAGATATTCAGGAAGTTTCGCAACTTAATCCCCAGTGAATCTCGCGGTGTTCGCACCTACGCAGACTGGGACACAAATCAGTGTCTTATACACAGGGATATCGTTCATATCCACTTCAATTTCCTTTTGGTTTTTCTAGGTATATATGAGCGTAAATTCAATGACTTTACACGACTTCAACAAGACTGTCAAATAGTATTAAAATAATCCATACAACTGAAGTTGCTTGTTTACTGAAGTTAATAATAGGGTGATATTTTTATCTGAGACTAACTTTACTGTAATAGTTAAAAGCTTTATTAGTTAATTAAACAGAAAGTTTGAATTTATTTTGTCACTAGATAAGACAACAAACAAATACCAATGTCTACCCGATGATTGTCCTCCCAAACACTACACAGAATCTTATCAAACACAAGATTTTATAAACAAAGAAAATATCATTGTATCTTCTCATAATCAAGTTAAAAAAGGTGAACTTGGGGGTATGATCCGTGTGTGTAAACCGTGTCATCCATTTTGTGATTTATGTACAGCAAACGGAACACATGCATCTATATGTCATAGTTGTACTCATTGGTGGTTTAAATCAGAATGTGTAGAGGTTTGTCCACCCGGTAGGTTATTTATTTAGCAAATCTCAAGACATTTAGTCCTATAAAACGTTTTCTTTATCTGTGATATTTTAATGTCTATTTCATTGATTTTTCTAATGTGTAAGTAACAAAAAAAGATCCGAATTCAAGAACTGTTTCATCTAAAAGAGATTGATGCTTTTCGTTTAGAAGATTTGATTCACAGCTTTGTCCGTTTCATGGAACAGCTATTTTTAGTGTGCACAAAACGAGTGGTATTATGAAAAGAATGAAATAAGAACTTATTTCACTACTTCACCAATGTGTCTACAAAATGAACGTTTCAATCGAAATAAAGAACCAATGCTAGAATGTATAACTCAGTCAATTGACCCATTTAACTAAACCGACAATAATTCATTCATAACCCATTCTTGGTTATCATTGCAAGACAGAAAACGATCACAAACGTATAACTATATGATGTAAAGTTGCACTTATACGGGGATGGGGTAAAACAATACAACTTGACTTGGAAAATTTTATCATGTAGCTAATAGTTAATCAAGAGTGAACTCAAAAGTTTGGATATATGTGAAATGAAAGCAAGGAATACTGGAATTTTTTCTGAACAGTTTATTTTTTCAGTGACAGAATCTATTTTTACTTAGCACGGTGTATCGCAGTAATAAAGAAAACAATTGTATCTTTCAGTCTCGTGTGAATCCAGTAATATTTCGGTTCCTGAGAAGTCTGATAATGTGGAAAAAGTGTGACTAACTGATTCATGAATTCATAATCTTTAACGAAAATATGGTTCTCCACCAGATTTCATGCTTTAGTGATATGGGAAATCCGACTGACGAATTGATGTTAGCTTTACTTCAATACTCATCTTCCCTAGGATTTTTGTGCTTAGATTACAGATATGCATTAATAGTTCTCAAACAATAATTTCTATCAACTGCGTAATTGTTTAGATTTTACAAAAATCATATTCTGCATAACACTCTATTAATTAGATAAAATTCATACACTCCCAAAACAACTAAGCTAATGCCCTTTCACACTTAACTCGGATAGCTAATAATTTGTATCTTCCAAATGTATTCATTGTTTTCCTACTACTGTTAAATTAAATTGTCATTTGAGAGAAAAGGGACTAATGTAATGACAATAATTGCAGTGATAATGCTGATATTCATAAAAAAATGTTTCCAAGCATAAATTAACTGTGATTCGGTCAGTTTTGCTACTAATATCAATGAGTACAGTAAATTATGCTATGATGTTGCCTTCAAAATGCAAACGTGTACCCCAGATTGTGATAATAATAATAATAATAATAATAAGTAGAAGAAGAATAGCAGAAATAATAAAAAAATGATTTATTGTCTACTTTATTTATTAGAATTAAGTCACAAATAAAAATTTATGAATACGTCATTGTTTTTAACAATGCCAAATAAATAACATTCATCACCCCTGTTCTCCATCAGCTTTTTTGTCTATTAGCTGGCTTCACCTGACAATAGTTTTCTTATTTTGTTACTGTGTGAAGTTACTGAAAGCAAAGTGTGTCAATATTATTGGTGTATTTTAACACATAAAAATACTGAATCTAAGGTAATAGCTAATAATATGAGAATATTGTGATCAAGCAACCAAATGGGACAAATTTGATGTGCCAAGCTGGTGTATTGTTCAACAGCGAAGATAAAGACAAAAGTATCAAAACATAAAAAGTTCTTTCCTTGGTAAGAAAAGTGAAGAGAAAGAGGTTTTTAATTACAGATTAAGTGGACGTCTAACAAGACTTTCTGTTTCAAATAAGTAGGAAATAAATAAATTCAGTTTCTTTTGGTTATTCATTATGATCACTAAGTCATCTAACGTGTTTACGATTTCTCTAAACACTCTCGAGAAGATACCGAATTCATTCACTAAATGGTTATCGCAAATTTCGTACTGAAATATGACCACATATTTAATTGCATGTCTGTTCTTCAAGTAACTTATTACCATAACAATTTGGAGAAGGAGCATATGAGTTTTTAATTTAAACAACTACATAATTAAACTAACTCAGAGTAAACGTCATATCAACGATTACAGTAACGTGGTGTCTCCACTACGTATTTGTCAGAGTTTTCCATTACTCCACTAACTGTAAATAAATCAATCTTTCTACTACACCAAATGAAAGACAAAAAAAGAATTTTTATGAAATATCCATTTTTTACTTAAATGAGGAAATCACATTCCAAGCCGTTGAGAGGTAAGACTACAATCTATGAACGACCTTTGAGCAACGTTACAATGACCTTGGGATGTCCACCTACTTACTAGGAACAAATGAGAGTTATGTATTAATGTGAGGGATTAGGATTAGGATTTACGGTTGAATGCTAGTGACAGGAATTAGATCTAATGTTTTCATCAGCTATAATGCCAAAGTGGTATTTAGCCAAACGAGTTAATGGATTTCGCGCCAAAACACAGGATCTGCTATCTTAAGTGTGATTGGTTCGTCCATAAATTATAGATTGAGTAACTCTACATTATGATTCACTATATTTTTACTCTTGAAGACTGAAGATAATTGATACAAAGTCATCAACATAGGTTTCGAATTGGTTGACATGACTGGTTTACAATAAGTTAGCTTGAATAATACAGTTGTATAAAGTGTTAGTCATTATATCAGTATCTCACTTGGGACATCCGTAAGTGTGAAATCGTGTGACTCTGGTTCGTATTCCTTGACAATTACTATTCACTAGTACATATTCATGGTTGCTTTGAAGTTAGAATTTAGTTTGCTACTATGTACAGTTAATTTTGTTTCATAGGAATCAAGTTAACTTGTCACTGTATTTGATGTATTGTTGCTTTTACCAAGGAGTTCAAATTCAATTCAATTTCTAATTATTATGAATTTCGCATTAATATCATTATTATAGCGGAAACATATTCACTAGCGGGATCTGATAAAGAGTCGGACAATGAAGAAAATGATTTAATTACTCTTAGTAACAATACCCAGTTCTCATCAAATCAATTAAAAGAATTCACTTTTCTATCTAACGTTTCTGCCACCACTAACGCTAGCATTGATGCCAATCAACAAGAATACAAAACGTCCTCACTAGCAGCTCCAGTATTTCTAATTAAATTGAAACGTTCACAGCGTCGATGTTTGCTCTGTCATGAACAGTGTATTCAAGGTTGTTCTGGACCTGGTCCAGAAGATTGTGTTAAATGTAGAAATTATCAAATTATCTTGGATGAAGAAACGAATAAAGTAAGTTAATACATATCATACAGTTCTATCAAATAAGTTTAGAAATCCATCTGAAATAAAATTTTATCACTATAGTAAAATTTTTAGGAAGCAGGTACAACTTTAAATTAGATGGTGGTTGGAGGTAGTCAACAGGAAACCTTGGACCCGGGTTTCGTGCTACCTGGCACTCGTCAGCAAGGTGTACCTGTAATCTTGAGAAAACTGGTGCTCCCCGGCGGGTTCGATCCCGTGTCACCCAGCTTTACAGTCAGAGACGTTACCAATGAGCTATCCGTGAGCTATTAGTGTCGAGTCACCTAGACTGGTGGCCACATTGCAACATGATCGATAGCATTCGATCTGCACTAAATAAAGACTTGACACACATGACACTGATCACCACCCAGTGATCAATCAGTTGTAACAACTTTAAATATATTTCGTGCTTAATTGAGTGCCTCATAAAAATTCACCATAATTTTGATTCTAAGTTCCGAAGTATGAATGTTGTCGCTTACAATCGTTGTTATTATTCTTCATAATTGAGCTACTAAAATGAAGATTTGTTTACGTTTCAAGACCCATGTGAAAATATTTTAGGGTAACGGATATTAATGAGTCGAGTTTTTGTACGAATCGATCTTCTGAAGTTTCTACAAATTATTGCTACTTCAAAGTATAGAAAGCTTTCTAAATAACTCATGTAAATTCAATTATCAAATGGACAATGTATGTGAATACTAGTAAAACTCCTAATTTCCCTACTTCTTTTAATGGTAGGCCGTTTATATTTCAATGAACAAAATAACATAAAGTTGGTGCAAGATACTTCAACAAGCCAAACAATTTAAATTCTGTAGTACCAACCCTTCTTTATTTCTATCCATTAAATGTGTGGAGTTGAAAGTAACCTTTCTTTGGGATTCGTTATCACTAAGTGTCCTCATTAATGCTTCAACTGTCAGAACAAGGTGCGTATTTTAGTTATTATCCATCTCATGATGTAATATTTGATCTATAAGCCCGAATCTAAGCCTGATAGATGTTTCTGGAAGTGTAATAACTGATCTGAAAAATTTGAGATAGTTAAGTGGTCATAGGTAACAGGTACTTCGATACTGTCCTTAAAACTTTATTTTGTGATAAAGTTAACCGACACAATAATAAATATAGATGTTTCAAGTTCATTTGAGGTTTATTACATATGTACTTTATTAGTTAATCTGCTGTTGATGTTTATTATTATCCAAACTGTCTTACTAAGTAGAACCTGTTATCATTAAATGGATAACGGATTAGTCTAAATCATATTGCTCTAAGCACTAGTTATATGTTTTAAAAGACATTTCAATTCAAAATAAGAGAAAAATAAAGAAAATATTATTTTAACTACATTTTGGCGGGAATTTTAATTTTAAGCATCTTATTGATGATAAAATAGCTTTGACTACTTTTAATTAAAGAACCATTGTAAGCTAAAGAGAACCAATCAACTCTGTTTGTTCTTGGTACGTATTCCTCCGTAAATCGTACTTTCAAGACATTTCAGCACTGAGTTTGAACGATTTAAATTTAATGAAAAGAGTCAAGGGAGTGGATTTTCACCATGACCACAATATCGTCGACCATTAATCCCACTAATTAAAGCTCAACTTATTTTTAATAAACTAATAATACAAAATGTCTTGGAATTATATTTTGAATGGCAAACTTTATAAACCAGTACAAGCAAACAAAGTGATAATTTGAAATGGCATATGACGAAACTAACCTGACTTCCCGATGAGTTACTCTTATGTTTCACAAAATATTTTTTGGTATTTTCAGTTTTATTTAGTTTTAATTTCTAATTTTATTCTTAGGTAGTGTGTCTTAATAAGCTAATCACCTAACTTTCTTAATACCTGTTTAATGAACTACTTATTATTATTATTATCTTCGTTATTATCTTTATGGCAAATACGTAGTTAACCTGCCAAACTGATCTAACACCATTTATGTGGTATGGATTTAATACCTAATTTATAAATCTATATATTTGTATATTATTTTGACGATGAACTATTAAAAAGTTATGTTTATCAATGAAAATATTTAATCAAGAATTGTTGTATATTTTTGCAGTAACAGATAGTTAATACCGCATTGCCTTTCATTCGCCTTTCAGTTCGTTTGTAATTCTTCCTGTCCAGAAGATCGCAATCATATTTTTCATGGCATGTGTTTAACAGCTGAACAAAATGCACGTTTATCTGGTCAAACAGCTCGAGAATTGCGTAACAGAATTCTTATTGCTGTTTCTATTTCCATATTTATTATTATTGCACTCGTTACAATAATACTGGTGATATGTTTGAGACGGAAAGCTGAAGCAGAAAAAATACGTGAACAACTACGCTCAGCATATACTAACTTGTTAGAACCTGATATGAAAGTGAGTATCTAAAACGATATTCTATCAATATTTTAAATGATTATTAAAATTCATAGCTTTGGACAACCTTCTTTAATCGTAGGAAATTCTATGATTTCTCGATTACTGGTTTGAACACCGCCCATAGGAGTGTTTCTGGGAGTTTTACCGTAGTTACTTACTGATCCGTCGACGATCAGCAATAATCGGGTGACGGAAGAATGATAAATCATTTCGTTTACTGAGTATGAGAACAATGAGCCATTGAGATAAACGATGTGCTGAGTAATCAATATTCTGAATATCGCATTTCGGTCTGATAGGACTGATTGGCCCTACTTATTCCTGTTGCAGGATTTCTATGATGTATTGTTTACTCCTCAGCTTACAATCATTGTGCAAGCATTTGAATATCGTTGAGGTAGTATTTCAACTTCGTTATATAATAAAACATAAGAAGTTCTACTCAATCTATTTTATGTTCATTTTAGTCATGAATCCGTCTGCCAATATCTATTGCTTCCGATTCCAGCCTGTTTGCAACTAAACTTATATGTTATAATAGCCACTTCTAATGTAACATCCAAAATTCAAGCGGAGCTTGATATGCTCTAACCGAGTATTAACTTTTTCACATTAGCTTAGTAAAATATTATCTACTTGTGTTTATTCATATTAAAAATACAGGGAATATCAATTTTAACTGCAAACTTTAGCCGGTATATTGAAATTATAACTCGGAGTCAACTGGTATGCTTGTATCTTTATCTGCTTGGTATTTGGTTTGTTTAATTTAATACTTGCTTAACTCATGCCGTTACTGAAAAAACTTCGTTTCATTTTCTGTGTTAAGACCCAATCCGTAAGTCGTGAACCAAACATGGGGCGGCTGGAAATGATCAATCAGGATGACTTGTCTTGTGATTTCAACTCAGCTCCTCTAGGAACAGGATCATTCGGAGCTGTATACAAAGGTGTATGGAAAGTACCTAAACATGCTCTACTTCGATATAATTGGCATAGAGGTGCTCAACTAGATGTTGCAATTAAAGTTATCTTAAATGATTCACCTGAATGTTCAGTAACCACAAACCCATCGTCCCCATTTGAAGCTGGTAATTCGTCTTATTCAGAAGAAGAAGCGAAGCGGGCATCCGTACGTGCTAATATTGAGGAACTTCTTCAGGAAGCTAAGGTATTTAAAAATATAGTTCACTTTACTGTTCTTTGTTATTTAATGAACGTGAAATTATTTGAATTTCGCTAAATATGAATTTATATGTGAGATTATTATATTATTCCACGTTAAAAGAATGAAGTTAAGGAAGGGGTCGCAGTACAGGGCCATCATCCAATCAATCTTCCATCATGGTATGCTTGAACGATTATGTGAGTTTATAGAAACTTCAACATTAGCCTTACTGATCACTTTAATACCTGATAAAAGTCCCCTTATGATTGAAAATAGTCACTATCTTAATTGACTCTTGAATTATAAATGGTGGTTACCTTTTGAATAACACTAGCCGGGACTGTTGTCAATCATCTATCAATTATTGATAATCGAATAAACACCACATAATTGCATTATCAACTAAAATGAATATGCCAGTTGAGACTTTGCAAGCACACGGCGGTGTTTAATAAAATTAAAATACTTGTAGTACGAAACTGATCGATTATTATTTCAGATGAAATCACTGTGACTAAATATTCCTCTTTCTAAAAATTATAAGTTAGTTTTGGTTATAATATCAATCTAGGATAATTTTTCCCACTCCTAGTATTCCTGTCTTTTGGATGCTAAAATAATAAGTACGTTTCATTAATCTAACTACTAACAATTTTTTTATGGAAATGTAATTTCACTATTCGTTTTCATATTCCTTTTCCCAAGTTCAATAACCACATATAAACTGTCTAACTAAGGTAACAACACAATAATTCGAAATTATCAGGTCGAACCCTGGTAATGATACATATAACACAATAATTCATTCGAGAAGCTATTAAGAATAAAATAGTTCTGAATAACTATTCTTTTATATTCGTTAACCGATAATCATTACACCTGACAGACTTCATGAACCTCAAATTTACCTCAGGATTTCTAAGTCCACGGTGTACGCTTCAGTCTATTTTAAATCGCTGGGCATCGACAATGCCAACTGTTTGATACTCTGTTGAATAATCTATAGGGTAAAACATTTTACAAAACATTTATTGATTTTGGTCAATAATATTGAGACGTTTCAGCATGGGAGAAATAGATCTATAATATTTGTTGACATTCGACGATTATTTACTTTTTGTCAGTTTGTAAATAAAGATGCCTTCCAATATCAAACAGCTGTTTTATCAAAACACTCTTCAAACGTTTGGTATGTGTGGATTAATCTGTTTGTTGATAAAAATTATTCTTAGTATTATTTTTTTGTATCCTGCATATTGTGTTCATTGTTTGCTGATATTACTTTCTTGTCTTACAGGTTATGGCATCTGTTATGCATCGTCATTGTCTTCCATTAATTGGAATATGTCTATCTAGTGAACGTCATTGTCTAGTTTCAATATTCGTCGAATTAGGGGCTTTGGATCGCTATGTGAAACAACATGCAGATGAATTAAATAGTCTTACACTTTTATCTTGGGCTGAGCAAATTGCTGATGGAATGAGCTACCTGGAAATGCGTGGAATTATCCATCGGTTAGTCATTCACATATTGCTAGTTACTTTTACTACATTATATTTTCATATTTTCTACTACATTAAATATTAGCTATCCCAAAGTTATAGTACTTTATACCTTGTAGAAAGATCTCTTCATTGATCACTTGTTCTTTTCACCACTCCAAATAATAATACCTAAGAACGTTAACACTTTGACAATATAGCATGACTGTCTGTTTTTTAAGCAGACTTCGATGAAGTAAAATTAGAGCTGCATATTATATTCGAATTCTTCTTAATTATTCTATAAACTTACTCGACTTCACATAAGTAACTAGTACGTGGTTTGTTGACTATGATTTAATTCGTAATTTCCCCATGGTGAAACATACACTCTAAACCTACACTGAGTATAATTCAATTTGAGTTTTTAAAACATAACTAGACAAATGTTTACTTTCTGTTACTAAATTCCCCTTTTTTCCTAATTATGCGCATGTTCTGAATCATTCATTAAGAAAAAGTGTAAACAGGGTTAAGCGGATAGTCTCCTTTTTAATAGTGTTAGATGTGCTCTGAAGAAGCATATTCAAGACTATCATTCCAAATCAGTGTATGGTTCATTCGATTTGTATAGATAATATTTTCATCTTTATGAAATCTTAATAGTTAAAGAATGAGACAAATTTGGTAGTTGATAAATTGTCATTTAGACTAAATATCGTAATCTTAATATCCAAAGCATACATTTTCTCACTAGGAAATAAAAACGAAATATAGTAATTTCGTAATTTCGTAATTAATTTATTGTCAAGCATCTATTAAAAGCATGAATTTCTTCAAAAATTTTGGACAAAACTAAGGTTGTGATTAGAATTCAGTACGCAGAAAAACAAGCATATTTCTCCGAATGGAACTCAATATTTACATCAAATAGTGTGATATATTTTTCTAAGACTATTTTGTACTTCACATAGAAACTATTACTTAATACTTGAACGGCTTTAAGTTCATCAATCTGATCGAACACATGTATTACCTTCTCTAATTTGTCATGATAAGCTGTTGCACAACGTGTTGACTGAGCTTAGATGTACTTATCAATGTAATCAACCTTGGAGGTCAAGTGTTAATATGAAATGTCTTTTGACTTGGGTCACGAATTTATCTATCTACTACTGTTTAATTCACAATATTCAATAATAAAGAGGAGTTATATCACTTTGAAAACTTTCACTTAGTAGATTGCTTATTTTTATATTAAGTAAAAGGAGAAAAAGAAAACACTTCATTTTATGTTTTTTTCTTTTCTTAATGATACGGAAAGTTGCCAACTACAGACAGTAGATTTTGTCTCTTACAACAGTGAATCCTTAGAAATTCAGTGGGATTAATTCTTGGTTTGTGTTTCAATGTGAACAATGTCACATTAACAATTGGTTGGCTAACCCAAAATAAAACGAAATGTACCCCGTATATTACACTTCAAAGGTCTTCTATATCTAATCATTTTCTTAGTGGAATTTAATATAAGTAGAAGCTATTGAATTATTTAATTTATTTTTTAAACGATGATCACGTTTTTTGTATATTTCTCCAACTTTCAGAGATTTGGCTGCTCGAAACGTTCTCGTTCAGACACGTGAACATGTACAGATTACTGATTTCGGTTTAGCTAAAATGTTAGAACGCCGTGATGAAGACAGTGTCATCGTAAAAGCTGGTCGTGTCCCAATACGTTGGTTAGCTATAGAAACACTACAATATGGGATTTATTCTCACAAAACAGATGTTTGGAGTTACGGTAAGAGGAATTTTAGAAAGCTGAGTACTGATCTTATGTTATGTTTTTTGAAGTAGTAATAAAAATTATAATTTTCCAAAACCTTAAAGATTTTTAATGACTTACAGTCAATCTCAGGAAGGTCGTTAATGCTTATGTTTCAGAATAAACCAATATTGTGATCAGTATTCGAATAATTGGTACTCTAATGGTTCCCTGTATCTAATAGACACAAATAGATCTTTAGTCAATCATCTAAATCTTTTTGAACTGAAAAAAATAATTGAATTCTGTTGTAAGTTGTACTTGAAATAGTCGAACTGAGAGTAATAATTAAAAACCTTTAAAGTAGATTTTGTGAAAAACATACGGTTTTAATTGGTTTTATATTTCATAGTATTGTAACGTGTAAACACAAGATTTAATTGGTGAATAAGTTCAATTCTCGCTGAAGATGCAATGATGCCATACGTTTTCGAAAAAGAGTTACTTCTTGATGTCTTTAAATTATTCTTGCCTTTTTAGAATCTTGTCCATCTTTTGGTATTTTCATTTTGAAATAGTCGAAGATTTTTTGGACGAAATGTATTTATCTCATTCTTTCTTCGGCTTCAGTTCAACTTTAGAAAGATTAGAATGTCACTCATTTCAAATAATTTCATTGTTAAAGTCTCAATAAAACTAAAACAGAAACACATAAACCATCTGTGGAACACATTTTATTTATATCCCATAGATTAGTCAGTATAGCACTGTTTAAGCGACTTAAACATTTTTTTCTTACGATTCTGTATTTTGTTAATCTCAGTCAACACCAACGAGTTTATTTTAGAAAACTGAATACTGTCAGAAATGAAATGTCGGTAAATTTGTTAATCCAACTGGCCAGTTCTTTTATAAACTACATTGTTTAACTATTATATATACTTTCACGTCACAACTTTTTTCACATGATATAAAAATAATCCATTTTCCTTTATCGACTAATCTTCATACAGTTAGACATTCAGTCAATGAACAATAAGTGTACCTTAAGTCTAAAATACAATACCTCTCGTTTAATGTTTTTTTTAAAGTTTAAAAAAGAAACCTATTTACTATTAAAAAACTGTGGTGTCCGTTTGGCAAATACTTATAAAACACTTTCAACCTAAAAGCTAAACAGTTTCAAGGTAATCTGAAAACAAACTATTTCTAGAATACTCTCTATAGATACATGACATGTAATTAGATTACTAAAAATATGGTTCACTTTAAAATCGGTCAGTATATTGAATGGTAGTAGGTAATAAGTACCCATATCCACTTTTCTCCTGACTTCATTGAATTGAAAGTGTTTCTCAGTCAATCATCTACACATTCCTAATAGTCCAGTTTTATACACATTTGAAGTTTTTCATTCAACTACTATCAATAAAGACAAGGTACTTATTGGAATAAAAGTTGACAAGGTGATTTGTAAAGCTCTTCAATCAGATTAAAACTAATAGAACCTTTATAAATACATTATATAGGGAAATTATATTTGAAATAAACTCAGCGATTGAAATTTGAATAATACAAACATTGCGTCCAGCAAAGTCGTCTGGACTTCTTAAGGATAAACGTTGGGATTATTTAAATTTCAATCGCTAAGATTATTTCGAATATAATTTTTACATATAATGGCTTCTCTATACTCAGTGCCCAATTTCTGTCAAACTTTGTAGAGACAGTTTTATTTCAAATTTCTCAAGTTATTGAAGTCACAAAGTGATCTACATCAGATAACCATTGAGAACCTAGAAGCAGTGGATGGTCGTATCATTCTTTTAAGCGACTCTTCAACTGTATGCAACCACAGATTCGCAGCCAGGGATGGAATCCAGGATCTCCAGTCTCTTACGCGAACATCTAACCTCTAGATTTCTGAGCCGGAATCCAGTGATGTGTAAGTCTAACTCCAGTCAATCCAGGACGCTAAGTGACCATCTTCCTCAACGTGTGTCTATCAGGGAGGAATTAGTAATTATTATTATGGGTATCATTTGCCATCTATTTTTCATTTATGCTTCATTGTTTGCATACCGGTGATCAAATGACATTAAGCTGAAATCCTATCACGGGTTAGGCTGTATTTCAGCACCATTTATCGACTTTGTTCAGATCTTAATTTCGGAGAATCACCTATGTAAAAATTGAGAAATATTCAAATTTGAAAGTACTTTTTGACCAGAGAATTTTAGGGTTACACATACATGTGTATATAAGTATCATTGATTCGTTACGTTCTGGAATGCATCAATGTAAAGCTTTCCTAACCATTAGTCATACAAAAAAATTGGTAGTATTTCACGAAAATAATCTACTGGATTTTAATTCATTTGTAGAGGTTTAAACCCTCTCGTTTTTAATGTCAATGACTGTAATTAACCAGTTACTTTTCTCCCGTGTGGTTTCTGAGCACAAGCCAGTGGCTATGTGAAATCAGTCGATAAATGGATAACTTGTTGTACATTCGAAGTCAAAGGAGTAAACATCAACACGGGAGTGAGTAGATCCAGCTAAATAGTTCTAGATAGAACGGATCTAGCGTCCTAGATTTTAAAGTTAGCCATCACCAAAATTTGATTTCAATAATGTCTTGAACTATCAAAAATGTACACAAATCAACGAAGCATCAGTGGTTATTGCTTGTTAGTTTGCTTCAGAAACTCTATCACACCCTTGTCGTATTTCTTCATCTTTTAATCATGTCAATAGAAAATTTGTATTTTTTTGCACTGATTTATTACGTAACAAAAACACACAGGTATAAATCAGATTTTGGTTAATGTATAGTTGACCGGAAGGGAGAATAAAAAAAGACAGTACTACGTAATTTAAACAATAACAGTATGTTGGTCCATTATTGAATAATAAGATTCTCAGTGGTTAAATATTAAGCACATTACCTTAATTCCCAAAGAATCAGATTTCCTGATTTTATTTTCAGATCTCAGTGCGATTAACACGAGGTCATATTTTTGAACTTAATAATTACCATTTTAAATAAAGTCCCTTACAACACACATTGTCTTGTAGCAATCCACATCGTGTCTGCCTGAACGATGCTTTGCTTATTGACGTAGATATTTATTAGTATGAATATTTCTGATTATTAAACCCTTCCAAACCAATCGCGAATGAATAGGCTGAACCATAAGTTGACCCTAGTATTATTTAGAAATATTTAGGATTGTACAGAATCACAGTATTATCTTTTGGGTACACAAAGCAATCTAAATGTACCCAAGAACTGTATACATTTTACTCTTGAATGACTAGTTTTCGTAGACATGTTTCAAGTGTTGTCCAGTAAACAAAATTTGCGACCAAGTCAAGTGTTAAATTTATTCTTTTGACAAAACGTTCGAAATTTAGGAAAATACGTAACCGATTGCTGGAACAAGAAAATTATTTGTGCTGTGCCTTAAACGTAATTTATCATTAATATGGCATTAACATGTTTTTGGATATGCTATGTTCAGTGGTTTGTTCATAAAAACTTTATTGTCTTCATAGAAAAAAACAATATCAGCACATACTTCTTCTTGACATATGTGCTGGTAATGAAAGTTCCACGACTAAACCATCCAGCTCAATGAATACATCTCTTGAATTCTAATACTGAGCGACAAACATTTTCCATCAACTTGTTGACAAGTCTATTAACTGTTATTAAAGCTATACACTTTATTTATATTTCATTTATATATATTATATATTATATATATATTTACGCCTGTTACCCCCAATGGACATGGGCCTCTGATCAGCATTCTCCAACCCACACTGTCCTAGGCCTTCCTTTCTAATTCAATCCAAGTGTCGTCCATTTTCCTCATGTCTGTCTCCATTTCTCAGCGTAACGTGTTCTTTAGTCTTCTTCTCCTCCTTTGGCCTTGAGGATTCCATGTGAGGGCTTGCCTTGTGACGCAGTTGGGTGCTTTCCTCAATGTGTGTCCTATCCACTTCTAGTGCTTCTTCCTGATTTCTTCATCCGCTGGGATCTGGTTTGTTCTCTCCCACAGTAGGTTGTTGCTAATAGTGCCTGGCAAACGGATCTGAAGTATTTTGCGTAGACAGATGTTAATAAACACATATCTTCTGGACGATGGCTTTCGTAGTTCTCGAGGTTTCCGCCCCATACAGTAGAACTGTCTTGACATTTGTATTGAAAGTCCTGACCTTGGTGTTGGTTGACAGTTGTATTTTAATGTGTACTAATTAGACAAAAAACATAATAAACAGAGCAGAAGAACTTCAAAATTCTACAATATCTGTCTACTTGTTTCAATGTATGACAATAGTCTTTGCTTGTAAATGCTAATTCATTTACTGAACAACCATGCCTAAACAAGGGTTTCAATCAGTTACATACTTTATTAGGTTCCAATGTTCACTGAATAAATTTTGTATCGTTCAATTTAAAATTAATACATGTTTCTCTAGTTCATATTAATTCTATGTTGAATTGATCAACTAAGCTTATGAGCCATTCAACCTTTGCAAACATAAATGTTCTTTTACGTAACAATTTACCCTTTAAGAGATTTGGTTATATCACTGATAAATGTTACTTTGATCCGATGTATGCATATTTTGACTGATAAGTGTTTTTAATAGTCTAAAATTATAAATACTTATTTTGTTCAGTAAACACTTGACTAGTTTTTGTCTGTTGAATTAGGAATTCATGATAATCCATTTTATTTCATTTGTTTGGTTCTCTGTCAAAAATTCTACAATAATTGTTCACTTACTCTAGTTACGCCTCACAGCCAACCAGGATTCGCCAACCAACTCGTTTCTGTCCTCTCCTTACAGATATTCTAAAATGCTGTTCATTCTTTTGATGTCTGCTTCCTATTCCCGACGCAATCTGTTCTTTGATTTGTCGCCTTTCCTTTATCCTTGAGGATTCCAAGTTACAACTTACCTCGTGATGCAGTTTTATGATATCTGAAGTGTGTATCCTATCCATCACCAATGCCTTTTCTTAATTTGTATGTTCGATCGAGTCTTACGAAATCCAGCCTACTGATCTCGAAGCTGAGAGTCTACTGAATCTTTGATCCGATTCAGCGACACTGCTGAAAACTTTTCCTTGTGCTGACAGTTATGTGTTGCTTTTATAATTTATTCATTTATAACACATGCTTTCAATCTTTCTTTCTATTTCTTTAATAATATTCTCTTAAGTGGATTCAGGGCTTAAATAGATATAAATAAAATATTTTCGGTGGAATCGTTTATGCAGAAATATCGTTTCTAAAATATTTATACATCAACATTATAGTGGAAGAACTAATGAATACTGAAGACTATCCATTTTAACTTTAAAATAAATGAATTTACTAACTATATTGAGGACTGGAACAACAATATATAATTTGCTGTTCTATTCGTCCTTTGTAAATTGATAATAAAACTCAATTATTCAAATGAAATCACTTGTTTGTGCGTGTGTTGCATTAAAAATGGTATTTACTTCACTAATGTGTCAATATTTACAATTTCATATTAAGTAAATAAAGGTATACAGCGTTTAAATTAATTTTCTAAATTGAGTTTTAGAAATGGAATTCATCCATGTGATATTACTATCAATTCATAGCCGTGTGACAGCCCACACCTAGACGGTACAGATTTTATCTCAGATCTTACTGAACTAAAATGTGGACGACTATTTTGTCCATTTATGGATCGCTTGATTGTATTTAAATCTAGGTTTATCTGATTAATATATCTGGTATATTGTCAATTTTCAAATTTAAACTATTTGCAAAATCTTCAGAACGGCAGTTCGATACAATTACAATGTTCATAATGTGTATTATATCGATTATTACTCAATGAAAGTACCTATATTGGGCAAACAATACTTTGAATACCCCAACTTTAATATAATTCTCATTTCTCAATCGACTGTCTTATAGCCTTCTATTTCTTGTCATCTAACGTATTTGGGAATAACTAACTTGATTTTCCGGATATCTTTCTTAATGTTGATTTTCATTACAAATAAATGTTATGAGTGAATAAAACCTTAAGTGGCTCTACGCAAAGTAGAAAGCAAAGATACGGGATTCATTTGATACAATAAATAGAACAAAATTTGTGGCTGAATACACGCATTTTTATGTTTTATTCAAAAGGATTTATAGTCAAAGTTTCAGTGAATGAAACTGAGTTCTATACATTCTTGGTTAACTGTCACAGTTTTAAACAACTATAGTAGTCTTCTTCAGAATGAACATATGATTATTTTAAGCCTAGCGTGCATGTGTGTAAAATGTCAAAGATGTTGCTTACACTCTTCTCATTCAATTTAAACGTTCACTGTCATACAGCATTTATATGTCTTCTGTATATTTTTCACAGAACTGATGAAGAAACCAATATAGTAGCAGCAGATGTTTGTGAAAGGGTGTACCTAACATTTCCAGAATTTTAGCAATTGAATAGTGAAAAACTATCTGAAATAGTCTGTTTTCCTTTATCTTTTGAGCTTTCAAATTTTGTTCATTTAGCTGAACTGTAATTAATGCGGAAAAAAATGTCTTCGTTATTATTATTATTACTATTATTATTAATAATATTAATGATCTATCTTTCGATCATTTCTCCAGTTTGTTATCAAAGGGTGCACAGTATTTACGAGATATAATCTCCACTCCAGTAATAATTCCTCCGCGGTTAAACATCGAAATTTTTCTTGTCAAATATATTGACTAAACAAATCATCCGGTTAATACTTACTTTTATTAGGTGTGACGTTATGGGAAATATTTACATTTGGCAAACGACCATATGAAGATGTTGATACTGTAGATATTAAGGATCATGTAATCAAAGGTGGACGTTTGACTCAACCTGACATATGCACTTTGGACGTTTATATGGTATTGGTAAAATGTAAGTGAATTGCATATATTATGTGCATTAGAATTAATAATAACAATTTTATGTATATTACAGCTTACGCCTTCATGGTACGAGGGTACTTATGGTATCAAGCCCTAAAAATTTTGAAGTACTCTCAATCGTTTATAAACTTGGTGCTAGGTACACTGACGTTTTAAAGAGCTCACTTCATTTGTAGGAACAAACAGTTTGAATAGTAGTTTAGCGATGTTTATTAAAAAATTTGAAAAACTAAAATTTCCAAGGAAAAAAATGTTTTGTTTGCATTTCCACTTTAGAGCTTTATCATAAAAACTAGTCCTCTGTAAATATCCAGCACCCTCATGTTATGTTGGAAATCCGTTTCTTGTATAAAATAAAACAAATGTACTCTTCCGCATTTCCGTCATTACTATTGGAAAAGATCTAATTTAGTTTGCCGTCAATGAATATAGATTAGGAACCTCTATAATGGAGTTCATATTGATCTACAAATGTTTCGTTTTTGTAATAACATATATCTTTAAATAGATGAATTCTGGTTAACATTAGAAATCAAGACATATATTTCGTCATAATCGGGACTTGAAACCTGAATGTACCTGGATTCTAATGTTGACTTTTGCATTAGCACACTAACACAGTAAAATGCAGAAGATTTATAACAATTTATTGCACGTGTGCTGTTAGCTAAATACGAAATTAGAAAATACATTCTTTAACAGCACAGTTTTAGCGGTGTAATAAACATTTCATCGATAATCTACTTCAAGTCTGCGGATTTACGCTATGTAATACCTTTGGCGAGCATATTATTCATTACCATATGGTTTTTAGTCGAATCTGCTCTAACTAATCATTGTGAAAAACTCATCAGTAATAGATATTAGCACAAACAGAAAATTTTTATTCAGCAAGTTAAACCTTAACCGTAAATGTCAAATTATCTAATAAGTTATGAAATGTATAGTGATATATATCAGAGTATGTGATTGAACGAGATACATTTGATATTCAGTTAACAATTACCTTTTAGTCTCCGCAACAAATTTATGACATTTATATTTAACAAACTTTTACGTTTGAAATCATTTTGCTCTGACAAAGTAGTCTATTGAGTTACGTCTATTCACCCAATAGTAAAATATATTCTATACTAGTTTTTTTTCTTTTTCAATTGATAACCAGTCAAAAATATATCGTGAAAATTCCCATTTTGCCATTTGGTAGATAAAGAAGGAACGAATTGAGCGAAGAAATTTCTTTTCAATTAGTTTTTCATCATGGCTCTACACTAATATATATACGTTTTACAATAATAATATAATACTCATCGAGTAGATACGTTACGTAATAATTACATTTAAACTAACATTGATTCATTGGAAGAAAGAGGATTATTAATATTCAAAGTGATCAAGAAGTTGCTACGTTGCGTAATGTAAGAAACAAAGAAGGAACAGAATTTTAACGGATGGTCAATAGGATGGTAGTTACGTAAGAATCCCCCAATAGTGATAATTAACATGTGCACACTAGTGACTAGCTTCGTGGGGGAATTCTCGGAGTTCTAGTGAGAAGTCGTGATCAGTGGAATTAATCCGTGTCGGGTAGAGACAGGTATCTACCGCAGTACAATGGATGGTGGTCGCGCAATTTCGTGCATTGGTTGATGTTAGACAATAACATCATTGGATGCCGGCTCAGTGGTCTAATGGTTAAGTGCTCAGGCGCGAATCCAGTAGGTCCTGGGTTCGAATCTCGCGGGGTGCGAGATCGTGGATGCGCACTGCTGAGGAGTCCCATACTAGGACGAAACGGCCGTCCAGTGCTTCCAGGTTTCCAACGGAGGTCTAACATCAATTAATTCATGATCTCAACCAAAAACTTAACATTCTCCACAACCCCCATACTGAAAATTACAAAAGTTAAAAAAAAACAAGTGGAAGAAGTATGAAAATTAGTTCTTTTGAAGGAAATCTTAAACTGATGGCCAGGGCAGGGAAAGTGGTTGTACGAATCTCTTTTGAATGCAAAGGTCAGGTTTGTTAACATGGATTGCAATGGCTTCCGCAATGTGCAAGAGGCGCACTCGTAAACCATGTGGCAAATTAGATGGGATATTGTAGATAACCTTAAAAGCTTTATTCAATTCGACTTGATGATCTGTGTCCACCAAGTGAGAGGGAATAGAACTTTTAATCACTTTTACCCGTCCTTTGTTTAACCATGACGGATGATGTTCAGTAATGCGATGACGGACTCGCCGAATTGTACGCCCAATATAACTGGCTCCACAGGAGCAGTTGAAACGATAGATACACATAGATTTGGCGAATTCAGGCAGTCTGTCTTTGTTGGCTGTTCTTATTTTGGGATAGTTGTAGAAGATTGCATTTAATCTGGCAGCATTAAATGTTTTTTGTACGGCTCTTCTTAGTTTCTGAGTCAAGATTTCTTCAATGGTGTCATTTATGAATTGTAGTTTTATGAATAGTACCTTCTTGTGGACGGTGGGTATCTTCGTCCTTGTTTTCTTCTCCATCATATGTTTGTCGATGAATTTCATGGGATACCCATTCATGCTAAGTAGGTTCCGAATATTATTCAATTCTTCCTCGATGGTGTCTTCAGAGCAAATAATTCTAGCCCGATGTGTCAAGATCTTTATCAAAAATATATCGTTTACAAAATTTGTATCAATCCATTTTAAGTAACTATTTAGGAAGTAATAAAATTAAAGATCAATAGACATAATCAAAACTTCTAAACCTTTATCTGTATCACATTGTATTCAGGTTGGATGGAAGATTACGAGTCTCGTCCTACATTTATTGAACTTATGCGTACATTTAATACATTTTGCAAAACTCCTGGCCGTTATCTATACATTGAAGTAAGCTTAAAATATAAATAAAATTCAATCAGATATTGTAATCTTTCATATCACATTCACATGCATACATTTTTTATGGCTTTATATATATATATATATATATCAAATAAGTAACTTTAGTTGTTCCAATTCATCAACTGAACATGCATAAGTTTTATCAAAGAGAGATTTTTTAAAGAAATACATCTATCAGTAATAAAACCATCGTTTCGGTTATTCTGATATTTCCTTACTTAAACAACCAAATGTAAAAGTAATGCATAATTAACTTCAGAAATTTTCCCCATTATTTATTCACTGGTTCCATTCATGTACCAAATACTATTAACACTGTAAGACAGAATTTCATAGTTTATGCACCAGAATAATTTGACCCAAAATAATCTATTATCTTTCGTTTCTGTTACACCCTGAAGTTAATTCGTCATATATAAATAAACATACACTAAACTGCATAATCGGTTTCACCTCAATACGTAATGTTTCATAAATCTTCAAGCCTTTTTGTTGTATCAGACTTTCTATAAGAAAATTAAGTGAAAGTTCAATACAGCATTTAGCCTCGACATTTTAGCCACTACTTTCATGTCGAAAGAAGTGCATCAAAATAAGAGAAAAACTGATATTATTCGACATTATGTTCTTCTACTTTCCGAATTCTGGTTTGTATTTTCGTGTCAGAAAAAGAATACTACGTGGCTCAAGAGATCAGATGTGATTCAATAGATTTGAATGTGTATAGTCTGTATATCTTAGATCTCCACAATAAAAATAACCACTATGTAATTACGTTTTTAGCTAACTTGAACTGCTTTAAGGCACTGCTCACAAAACACTCATATTGGGATATTTTATAGCTCATCTTTGAGGTAAAAATTTCTGGTTTTCCTTCTAATTCATTGTCTTCACTTTAAAAGCTGTTTACACAATAAACTGTTCTTCGTTTCTGGAATTTTTCTTTCTTAGAACATTAAATTTATATCGTTCTATAGATAAGCGAGCTCATATTTAAGAAACGAATACATTTGGATTATAAGATAAAGAATTGATATTCTCTATAAAAACTAATTAATCTACTTCATGTCTCCTGTCTATTATTCGTTCATCCTTTGGAGACTGTTTCCACGGTAGGATAAAGTGTTATATTACTTTGAGCCCCTAGCACTAAAGTCGGGTGCAATGCAAAATGTCTGCACTTAGCTATCCACCCCAATGTAAAGCTGATTAAGTAAAGATATCCATAATGATTTGTGGTTTAGTTGTTTTTGTAAGACATTATAGTTTACTGAATTAAAATATTAGATGGGAGATGAAACTTCCAGTATATATATATATATATATATATATATATATATATATATATATATATATATATATATATATATATATATAATAGTAACATCTTTTCATTTTCTTTAGAATTCTGGTCTCCTAGAGGTCAGAGGCATACTCTTTTTAATATATCAAGAAAGGCATGTTTTACTAAAAAAACGAATCCAAAACAGTGTAACTTTATCTACCATTGTTCCTAGTTTAATTAATATCTTACTGTACTTGGTTGTTGTTTACTTCTGAACTTCTTACTATTCTGTCTTAGTCCTGCTGTTGTTAGCCTTTTAGTGCAAATTAACAGTTGAGAGGTTGGGTATATAAAGTTTGATTTAGGAGGAAGAGTATCCTAGCATAGTTGATGGTTTTTAATACTCACCAGTTGAGTGTATCTCCCTCCTGTTACTGACCAGATTTTTAATGGATTTGATTCATAACATTGACAAAATAATTTCCTCGGAACTACTTACATCCGTACCCCAAATCATAAAAAATAAAAACAAACTTTGTCAAAACCTCAACTTTTGTCATACTGAAAAGTAATCATTCATTCTGACTAGTTAGATCTAGCGAATCCGTGCATAATCAACAACAACGCAGATTGTAAGGGAATGGCAGTTCCATTACCAAAATGTTGGTTTTCTATGCTGATCATTCGCTTTATTGTTCAACGTTTGCATATTATTTGTTTCCTTGTCTTCTTACAATAATTTTAATATGAGTTACTAAATTATTTTAAAATTTCTAATACAGGGTGATCAATATGCAATCAATTACTTTCACAACACAAATTCAGGTTCTGGGAACTTTTCTTCTGAGTCTCATGAACTCCAACCGATGTTGTCCGTACGCGGGGTCCCTGATGGAGGTACAACGCCACACAGGAATAATAGTTTACACCGTCATCATACTATGTTAACAGAACCAAGTATGACTAGACCTTATTCTTCAGGAAAGCTACTTCGAGCTTTATCTGACCAGCCTAGTGAAAGATCTGATCCATTTTCCGTTGGTCAGACTGATGAACATACAGAAACACAACTTTTGCTACCCATTCGATCAAATAATGGTAACGCTGGAAACCATTCTACCTGGCAATCACGGCAGCATGGAGTTGGAACTGGAGGTTTGTCAAATACCTCTGATACAAATTTTTCAGGGCTAGGTAGAATATGGAAGAGATCAAATTTTCATGACAAAGTCAACTCAGATAGTATAAGTAAGAATAATCTCTAAGTTGGATGAGTGACTTCACGTTTACAATTTTTTTCTTTTGATCACTAACCATAATATACATATTGTTTGTAAATCTTTCGTCATGTAAACGTAAATTTGTAATGTGACTTATTTTAGATCCAACAGTGAATTATTTTTAACAAATCCTTGCCATTCTCATAGACTTGATGGAATGGTTATTTAACTTTTTACGAAGTCAAAAATGATAAGATAACAATGGGATAATTCAAATCTTTTCTAAAATGATATAAATAGAAGGTCTGTTCAAGTAGATTAGTGATGACATTTTGACTTCTGTGTACATGTTTATGTATCCCCACCACATATTCTTACCTTATACGTGCTAGCAAATTTAGGCTTCAGTTTAGACATTCCTAAAACTTTAAACACCTGACATAAGAGAAATGTATTTAGAAAGTATTTATCTGTGGTGATTTAAGAATTCGTTCATCAACTCATAAATTCCCTTTCAATATCATTCACTGAGCACCGCAAATAATATTAGTCAAAAACGTCAGAAAATAAGAAAACACATCTAGTTTTTTTGTTGGTTGACAGCTTGATCAACTTATTCACTTAGTGAATTTTTTTAATAGCTCAGTAGTACACGTGTTATATTAGATACATTTTTCCCTCGTGAGTGTGAAATATGGATTGTAGAAGACCGGTGTTTAAAATTAATTATTAATTGGTTCGAAATATAAACCACTTATTTTTCTTCCTGTCTTATTTCGAACCAGAAACTAAGGTCAGATTTCTTGGCTGGCCATGAGTACACAGTTTCCGAAGATTGTACTAATTTCACTGGGTTTTTCTTAATTTTTTTAAAGTAAACTAAACGACCGGATTGGATACAGAAAACTCTCAATTTTTCTTCTACTTTGTATGTGAAAAACTGTACACATTTGCCGAATTTCATTAGTTTTGTGACGAACAAAGTATCTGTGTACTAAATACCTCAGTGAAAGCAACGAATAAATTTGGAGCTTTTTCAACATATAAACAGTTAATCGGTTTTTTAGCTCTTTGAAACCGAAGGCTTAATAGAAGAATCTTCATCTTTAAAATCATTATTACCGTTGTATAATATTGCAGTAATAACTAAGGCTCATAAAATGAAAATTCTAAGAAACATATTACTGGTTTGTTGGAATCGCCGTGAAAACTCTATAGCTAAAGCAGTATAAAAAGGTGAATTCTAACTTAAATAGCTACTTCTTGTAATCAATTCAAGAACAATAGAAATCATTATACTAATAGCACCTAAACTGACAGTAAACTTTCGTGGATGATAATAACCATTAAAAAAGTATTTTTGAAACAAAATTTTGGATAATTACAATCTAAATGTATGTTAAAGAGAAATTTATTTCAATAATGCACAACTGATGGTGTGACTTTTCTGCAATAAAATTTTTTGTTATTAATACAACTTTTATTGGTATTATTATGTCCTTCTTAAGCCTACTGGTTCAGTTTTTAGATATATAGGGAAGTTGTTTCAGAACTGTTAAACGTCCTTGGTATGCTAGACTACCTAATGTAATCTTGAGACTGAATGAGTTCGTTCCGTACAAACTCGATCTTATGGATAGAAACTATCCTATTGTGCGACCGATGATCTTCTACGAGGATGCTAATTGGTTACCTAAAGAGGGTGTGACTGTAGAGAAAATACTACAAATTCTAATCCGTCAACCATTCCGAGTCAGTTCAAAAAATACATGACGAAATACTTTAGCATACAGATCACGACCGACAATGAAACAAGTCGTTTAGGGTAGAAACCTTAATGCCACTCATAATTAATTTAAAGTGATTTAGGGATAGCATAATATATGTCAGAATTTATTGATAAAACTGAAACTTTAGATTAGGGGAATTAAGGAAACACATTACCCAATTGTTCATATCTACATAGAAAATAATGGTAATAATGTTTTGAAAAATGGGTTACCCAGACTGCTACTTTCCTTTATCTTTCTGGTTCTTACATTTATTACGACTATTAAATCATTATTACTATCCCAGTATTTGGTCTACGACAATTAGTATCTTAATGATCAGTTCTCATTCATATTAAAGCATACAGTATATCAGTAATTTGACGTTAGATCAATTTTTAAATAAACGCAACAATTTATAGTTGGCATGTTATTTGAACTTTGTATCTCATTTTCCAACAGGTTTGGTAAAACAACACAAGGCTCCTTTGGCTTCCCGAGAGGATTCTTGGTTAAATGATATTCCTAGACAGTCAGATCATCCTGAATCAATAAGTTCTGTTGCTTTATCTGACCCAGCTACTGCTTCTACCACTACTAAAACTTCCGAATGGTCAGGAATATCACCTTCTTATAATAAATCACGCAATCATTCCAATTTTGGTGGTAAAAATTTAGAAGAAATGAGCACTAAATTCAGCCCGCGCACACATGACAATTCATCAAACGGTTTTAGAAAAAATACTGTTTCAGACTATCTGCTTGAGCCACCACCGCCACCGCCTGTACCACGTGGCTTACCAGATGACTATTTACAACCGAAGACTAAAAATCCTTCAAATATATCAAACGCATACAGTAGTGCGCCGTCAAAATCAATGAATTATACCGAATTGGGCCCACCAATGGTTACCAATGCTTCTACTACTAGAGGTTTGTGTTCAGAAATATAATACATTTCCCTATAACTTAGCTTCTATTGTAGATATACATGAATAAACTTGACTGCTTTTTAATATCCAATGTCAAACATTGCACTAGATTATGGTCTTACTATTTTTCAAGTCCACATCATATTTCCTAATTGGCTAATTTCAATGAATGCTAAGATTAGCATACCACTGGTTACTACCTGTTGATTATCTCGTTTACTCAATTCAGCCATTTAGAACTCTAATAGTAGCCGGAATACCTTGAGCTCAAAGTCTTTAGCATTGTTTAATAACTTGGTTGTTTCGTTAACACAAGCTTGCTCTATGATTTAGTTACTCCTAACTGGGAAGAAAATCATTTAATAAACCATCTGTACAGTTTCTTTTACTGCGTTTTCCTATTCAATATAGAACGACACTATTTATCATATACATGGTTAACTTGCAATTAATTCAGCCTGAAAGGAACTTGTAATCTTGTAGAGCCAAAGAAATGTCACTGAATCCTGACCAAATTATCCGGCAGTCTGGTCAATGAATGCCGAATAGTCCATTGATCCGCCTCAAGGTCAAAAACAACTGGCGCGTGTCAATTAATCACACACCATGGACTGGCCCATACAGTGGTGGTCACAATTTCTTCCTTGTACCTACTGTTACTGATATATTTCTATATTAACCTTTGTGTTGTACGGCCATCGAACTAGCCATGGTAACTGGATACGACGAAAGGGTAATCCACGTTAGGTTCTGAACACGAAGTGTGACTTCAAAGTTAGCTGGTTCGTTACACCATCCCCGTCTAACTCGAACAGGCCCCAAATCATTCAACACAGATCATCTTTGTTGGTGATCTACAATTTCATATATATTTAAAAAAAGTAAAACAGCTCATTACCCTGGTTATATTTGAAAACCGAAACCTGATGTTTGCTATCATGAAACCGCTTCATCTCTGATATATGACGGAGAAATATTTTTTTAACTTAGGAACATTTTTACAGTTGTTGGATAATTTGATAAATTATAAACTTAAGTATACTTCATATATTATCACGTTCAAATGTATAGGTTATCATATACTTAGTCCTTATCACTGTACTAGTGATGGCAAAACAGGTTTCTAACATAACCTAACAAATCACTTGTCATAAACATATATTGAATAGAATAAAGCGAGATCGAACATAAAACAATGGACTTCTCATCTAATGTCCTACGCACTTAAGACATACGATATGATCCCGAGTCTCAATTAGGTGATCGACTAGGGTTTAAACAACAGTAAAAATCACCATTTTATGTTCATTCATAGTTTCAGAACTACATATATATCTCATTTTAAATCACAATATGAGAATTTTCCAAATTTGTAGTTTAATTTGCAATGAACTAGTGTAAAATATCTGGAAATAACTGTACGACAATTGTAGACTTAATTTTTATGAACGTAAATGTTGACAGTATATCCACCAGTAAATACCCTTGTTTTTCAAATCCAGGTTTGAATGTCCGACAGTTGAATTGCTTGAGTCACTAATACTTCTATGTATGACACAACTATGTAAATCAACGAGAAATTAAGTCCGCACAGTTGAACTAGTGATGTGTTGAGTTCTATGCTGCATTTGTTTACAAAGTAATTTTTGCTAAATTATTACACAATAAACCGAAAAGACCATTTCTGACTGTCTCTGTAGACTTGATTTAATTTTCCTCATTTTTTAGATGAATACTTAAGTCCGAATATGCAGCCACCAGAAGAATACTTATCTCCAATATCCAGTGGATTTAGCGTAACCAATCCAGAGTATTTAATGGAAACATACGGTCATCCACATCAATACCCAGAGCCAAATACATTAAAACAAAGCACAAATCCTGCTAGCGATTCAAATTCCCCGCTGAAATTGCAGGATAAAACAAACCAAAAGTAAACTCTATCCTGCTGCTTGTTTTTATCGTATCTGTTGTTACTGTGGTTTTTCGAAGCAGTTACTTTTTGCCTAATTAAATACATTTTAAAAACAAATTCTGCTAATAATATCGAATTTACTGTTAACGCCTCTATTTGTCAACTTTCGTTTTTATTTACGTTTTACTGCCCGTTTTGTTTATATATGAAATTTCCTTGGTTTCTTTTACATATTAGTGAGTCATCCTCGCTGGAATTATAGATACAATCGTTCCACTTTCTCCCCACCAGAATAGCGCAAAACAACAGACTATTCATTTTAAAATGATATAGCAGTGACACTGAATGTGTTACTTCCTTCTATTTTCATTTTATTATTTGACATACCTATAAAAACCAAATAAAGAATGATCAATGTGTAAACACTCCGGAAGTCAATGCACAAACATGTTCACTATGGAATTCGTATGGTTCATTCGTCGTGATGATAGGTATTGACATTTTTCAACGATTAAAGATAAAGTCAAGGATGAATGAAGAACAATAATACTGTAAGAAAAAGAGATGCATCTCAACATTCATGTCCCCTCCTTCTCCTTCCGTATTTTTAATTCCAGTTTATTGATTATATACAAACAGATACATACTGCTTCTTACTAGCATTTATATCAAAGTATTACTTCATACCATTGCTTCCTGTGTATTTCGGGTAATTCTCTTCTCAAAAAGCATTCAATTTATCTTGAATTATAATTGCTTGCTTATCTATGGACTCACTAAAATTGTTTGTTGGATTGTCTTCTATGCATCATTCGTTGTTCCCAAGATAGGCAGAAACCAGAACAATGAGGATATATATCGATATACCGCTTGTTCGTAATAAGCACTGTTTGCAAACACTGCCTTATAAACCAAACATGTTTTAGATGCATTTATTGTCAGATTCGACGACCTTTTAATGTAAATAGACATCATTCTTTTCGTTGTCATTTGCATGCTGGTTCTTTTTTAAACAAATAATATGAATACTATCTATTTTACATTCAATCCGATATAAAAACAAATACTGAGGCGATTATGTTTTTGAAAACTACTACCTACTAAAATAATCCCAAGTAGCAAAATGAAGTTTGTTAAAATATTATACCCCAGGTAGGAATTTTCGATCAAAAATGACAAAATGTCTTACCCTTTGTCTGAACTGTCACATAAAAGTAGTATCTGTACTGAGTGAGAATCAGTTATCATATGAAAAAATTCACAATTGAAAGGGAAGCATGGCTGTGAATGGACTTCCAGTGGTTTCCAATTAAAATTTGCCTACATAACAAACAATTTAAGCTCATAAATGTCCGCTATACCATAAAATGTCTTAGTTATTCTCTTAATTACAAAACGCTTGGAAACTAAATAGTTCCATTATTTTAGACTTATCTATAACTAAGAAAACAAATGAGAGAGAACTTAGACAAAATAGTTTATACTGTCTAGTTTGATGCCGCATCAAATAAACAACCTACAATCGTTCTAAGAACATCTAGAAATCAAAATATTTATTTTTATTATAGAAAATAGCTTGATCAACGACCAACTGAAATCCTCTTAGTTTCAGTTCCTAAAATCCTTCAAGCCAATAAATGTAATTAAAGCAGTTAGTAGGGTGGAGAAGATAACGGATACTTATTTGCTTAAAGCATATTTTCGAGGGTATTTTATTTATTAAGCTACAAAAACTGAAGCCACAAATTTTCCGAAAATAAATTTGTAAGGGTTTTTCTGTAGAAATGCTTTTACAAAGACCATTTTTTAATTCACCCTTTGTTGTAATTCTCTCTTATTATAACCCAGCTATTCTTGGACACCAATTCACTCGATAAGTCCCCAAATCAGAACACGGTTGAACAGGAAAGAGAATATATCCCAAATGACAAGGTTACATGGAAGTAAGAACCACAGTAGGAAAAACGTCAGTATATTTATAGTTTTTACATGAGAAGGTTCTAGTGTTCTCCAATTATCGACTAGCGCTGGTTGGATAAGAATTAACCAACCAGTGTGCGCCAAAGCAATCGTGCATTGAGCATGCTTTAATTTATTTGCATATAATTATAAAACCAGAGAATTTCACGAGGTAAATTTTGTAACGTTTGCTTACCACAATAACTAGATACTCATCAGTAATAAGTACTAGGTTAATAATTTCCAATAGCTGATAATACTTGTAACATATTCGATTCTAAACTACTTTCTTAAGTAGTCGAATTTCTCTACACTTGTGAGACAGTTATATGACTGTATACCAGTAAAATAAAAGTAAATCACATAAAATTATACTACGTCGTTATTTAGTGATAAATATATCCCAATTCTAACGTATTCGATCTGAATTAAAAAACTTAGTAAAATTATTGCATTGATCAACTGGTAAAATAAATAAACAAGCGCGTTAGTAGCATATCGATAAAGTAAAAGACATGAAAAAGTAAAATGAGTATAATTTATCGAGCTGCAAGCAGTAGGGTTAATGAAACCACTGACTAAATATGGTGTACGAATTTTCTACAAATACAAAATAATCAAAGCAAAACAAAGAGAAACAAGATTAAAATCAAAATGATAAACCAATAGAAAAAGACCATAAATTTTGTTCTAGAAATATACGAGATAAAGAAATAGTTATGATGAGTGCACTGAATATATATATATATATATATATATATATATATCCTTTGTATGCAATGATATGGTAGGAAGAGATGTTGTCAAGTCACTGAAATCAAGCTAGTCCACGTGACATAAATGGTACACATAGGTGGTGATAACAAGTCTTGAATAAAACAAACTATTTTTGTAGGATGAACTAGGACTGGAAAAAATCATCGTCCACTCCAACACATATATCTGAAAAGAAGCTGGGATCAAATAACGCTAGATTTGTTTGTGTTTCAACACTGTTCAACCACAATTCTATATCTTCATCAATTGTTTGAGTTTGATTGTGAGTGAAATCTACATTAGCTGACCAATCATGCTGCGTTGTTGTTTCCACGGTGTTCAAATTGCAATACTGTGAATTATCACAGGAAGTGGGTACAGTATTAGTTTGTACAGAATTTTTGATAGATGATGTAGATGAGCATTGTAACATTGGATCCGTCGAACCAGGTAATTCATAACCAGAATAATTTATTACATTAACACAAGCCCGAGTACCGGAATCTGTTGTTGTATCCATGTTTAATATCTCCATAACTTTGAAGGAAACAAATAAAATGAGGTTTAAACTAAAGTACATAGAATTGTGACTCAAAACAAAAGCAATGTACCTGATAGTATGGGATAGAGGAAGCAATTTATATAAGACAGTAAACATTCTACAGTATGTATGCCTAGAAATTTCCATGAAACAAGCTTTCAAAAATCACTATGCACTTTGTTCTGTTAATGAAAAACAACTCAGATTCGAGACCATTTACATTTTCTATATTTGACTGAAGGTAATGCTTCTATTCACCCACGTTTACAATCCATTTATCTTGCAAACCAGTTAGCTGAAAAGGGATAGATGTTGATGTATAAAATCGGAAATACAATAAAACCCCATTACACAAATGAGCACAAAAATAAGCTGTTGACGTTAAGCACAAATGGTGTACTCATTACGAATTTCAGATGTTTCGATGCGCAATGAACTTCCATACAGGCATCAAATTTATCATGTAGAACATTACAGTTATCGCGGAAAAAAAAGGATTAAGTAGTGAAAAGTAGAGTTAACAGATTATATGAAGAATATAATATCACAATAATGAAAACGTGGATGTAATTGATGAAATACTTAGCTGCTTTATTTCGGAACAGTGAATTATTAATATTATTATATCATACACATTCTACAAACTAACATAATCAGTTTTAGAGTTTTATTACCAGTCGTTTAACAAAATAGTTTAGTAGTACCTTCAAGATAAGGTGCAAAAGCAACAAACAGACTATCGTGAAATCTTAGTAAAAAGCCAAGAATTTACAGTGGTTTTAATAGCTCACACAGTGACTGATCTTGCGAAACTCATCTGAGTAAACTACGACCAAAATGTGGGAAAAAAGTAGATTAAAAGTAAACTGAAAACGTCTACCCAACGCCCGGAAGTCAGTCAGCAACAACATAGAACTTCGTAAGTACGAACATCAGTTCAAGTTGCCATACCACATTAGCACAGAGATACAGTCGTCGATTCAAATCCCATAGTGGTAGAGGTAGTAAGAGTATAAGCAGTAATCGGAAAGACTAGGGTTTGAAGATGTTACTCAAGTAGTATAATTCAGTGAAATAAATTTGGAAAGAGGAAAAAGGGACATGAAGAATTCAGAAGATTAGAATTCGAGAGAACACAAAGAGTGTATGCACCTGCGCCATTGCAAACGATTTTGAGCCATGTCATTCAGGGTCTCTAACCATCGGTTGCTATCATCTCGCGGTCCCCAACCAGGTAGTCTACACCTACCAACATGACTCAGTCCACTTGTCAGTGACTTCATGGACTTGTGCCATGTTTTGGTTTGGCCGCCCCTAGCTTTCTTTCAACCTACTCCTATACCACTGAACATAGCGCGTCGAGGTAGTCGGTCGTTGGGCATACGTAACACGTGTCCCAGCCATCTCAACTGATGAAGTTTCACTACTTCATCAATTGATTTGCCATCCTTACCTAGTACCCGTTTCCTAACAACTGTGTTACTTACTCGATGGTCCCAGGATATACGAGCAATGTTTCGAAGACACCTATGATCAAATACTAGTAACCTACGAATATCTTCTACTCTTACCGGCCATGTTTCACAGCGGTAAATTAGGACGGAACGAACTGCTGCGCAGTAAACACGTCCTTTGGTTGATAGACGGATATCTCGCCTACGCCATAAATGACGCAAGTTGGCAAAAGCTAGTCGAGCCTTCTGTATCCGTGCTGAGATTTCGTCACACACCAGACCACAAGGGCTGATGAGACTTTCAAGATAAGTGAAGCGATCGACACGCTCAATTACTTCACTCCCTATCATTAGTTCGGGTGTCGATGTAACCCAATCCTGAAGCAACATTTTGCATTTCGAGGGGGAGAACCGCATCCCGAACATGCTTGCATTGTTGCTTACGGTGGTCAGAAAACTTTGCGTTTTGTCAGTGTCTTCACTAAACAGAACTATGTCATCGGCATCTTATAAGTCAACAAGTGAATCTCCTGGTAGAAGTTCAACTGGAAATTTTGATAGGGGAAGTGTTATCTATAAAAACACGTCAAGGACAATGTTAAATATGAATGGAGAGAGTGGACACCCCTGACCAACACCACTTGAGGTAATCAATTCTGATGACAGTTCGCCCTAAGCTCTCACTACTAGTTGTTTTCGAGTGGAGAGCCTTTATAAGGTTAATGTACTTCTTTGGTACTCCTTTCAGTGACAAACACTGCCACAGAACCTCACGATCAACAGAGTCGAATGCTGCTTTAAGGTCGAGAAATAGTACGATTGTGGGGCGCCTGAATGTGTGTCTATGTTCTAGGATCTGACGTAGTGTGAATATCTGGTCTATAAAGCCACGTCCAGGTCGAAAACCAGTCTGGTTTTCTCTAGTCTCCTCTTCACGAGCTTTAGTTAGGCGTCGAAGTATTATTGAAGCTAATATTTTAGACATTATATGAGTCAAACTGATTTCTCTGTGATTGTCACAAGAGGACTTTTGTCCTTTCTTATAGACTGGCACAATCAGTGATTGAAACCAGTGAGATGGGATTACGTCCAGTTCCCAAATTCTACCTGAGACCTCAGTCAATCTCACTGCCACTACTGGACCACCATCCTTAAAAATCTTAGGAGTAAACCTGTCGGGGCCTGCTGTTCTCCCTCGTTTCAGAGTGGCAAGACTCACATCAACTTGCCATTTAGATTGACTGGAGATCGTGGGAAACCGAAGTGTGACTGAAGACCAGTTGAACTGATCCCTAAACTGTTCTAACCATCGATCCAATCTCCTGGATTTATGGTGAATAATGTGTTCATCTTTTTCCGAGACATTTTCTCTAAAAGTTGGATTCTTAATAAAGGATTCCTTGACAAGTCTGAACAGTTGTCTGTTGTTGCTTACTGCCGTAGCCGTTTCCATCTCTTTTGTTTTCGCTACCCACCACTGTTGACGATCATTGCGTAGGCTTCTTATCAGGCCGCGCTTAGGCTGACTCCGCTCTTCATCATGTTCGGAGCCAGATGGGATGAGTTTCCGAGCATCTATCAGTACGGCAGATGCTGATGAGATCCAGTATTTCTCCCTCACCATGCGGTTTACCATGCTAGCAGATATTTAAAAAATCGGTGCAGGAAATGTAGAGCTGTGGGCCATAAAGATGGATTTCGTCAAAAAAGGAAGCCAAGTAGCTCCAGGAGTACCATACAGCCCGAACCAACATTATTTCGTGGGAGAGGAGAAAGTCAGAAAATTTAAGGTCAGGGTCTAAACTTCAAGTCTTCAAAAAAAGGGCAGGTGTTATGACAGGATGAAAAGTCAAAATTAAATTGATTTACTCATTATGATTTTTATTCAATATCAATTCCGTTTAATTTATTTTAATGACCACTCAGTGTAGCATTTGTTTCGTTTTCCCCCATGACATTTTACTCTTTATAAAATACGATATTCTTGTATGAAATATTTTCCATATATGTGATATATTCTGATTATTAATCAAAAAAGGGTGTATAACCAATATATAAATGAGTGTATTTCCGACTAGACGGGATAGGATTACTCGTGCTTTTGGCTACTTGAGGAATATATTTCCCCGTTTCGAACTTGGACTTCTCTCTCTAGTTAGCAGGGCTGGGACGCATCAGAATAGCTAGCATATTGGTCTTTGGTCACAGAGTCTTTATTCTGTTCCCAGACTAGGTGAATTCGTAATCGCTTCAAACATAGCATTATGTCAAAAGATGTTTTTCCTTATGCTTAAAGTTAGTGTTTGCAAGAAACAGGTAGTTATCTGAGCATAGCTGCAACAGACGGTCGCCATTATCTGTTCTTTGAGCCATGACACCATAAAATCCACTCAGGTGTCTTTCCTTTTCGCTTAGTTTACCTACTTGAGCATTAAATTAATAGAGCCTAACTTTTTGGAGGAGGTCGGAAAGCTTCCTGTAAAACTCATCTTTTACTCCATTTGAGCTGCAATCAGTGGGAGAGTATACAGAGACGACGAAGAGGCAACGACGAGTGTCCCTAACTTTCCGAGTCCTTATTGTTCTGTTTAGTCGGACAGCGCACAAAAAACTTTCTGCTGGGATCCAGTCTAAGAGAGCTAGTTCTGCCCTAGGACTCAATGCTATACCTACACCAGCGAGCCTGTTGTCCTATTTGGCACAGTGCTCGAACGTTAAAAGCTCCTACATGTAGTTTAGAGCATGATTTCAGGAGACCAGGAATAACGTTCCGCGTACCCGAATCGTTTACATTAGCAGCGTGAGGTGATAAAGGAACGTGAGAAGGATTAGTCGTGGAAATAAGAGAGTTACTAAGAGGTGTAGGAAGGATTTGATTGTGACCAACTTGCTTTCATGTGCTGATACGGGTATGAGGGCTGATGTCACTTCCTGGTCACCTACACCGTGGAAGGATATTTTATTGAGAAACCTGAAAAGGAAGTTGGATTAGTGTTGATCTTAACGACCTGAGAGTGTGACCGCAGAGCCCAAGGGACAACTGCTTGAGGCCGCTCACGCCCGGTCATGGACAACTGGACAGATATACATTCGCATAACTCTTTTTTTCCGCGTTTTTTCTATTATTTTTGTGATTGTTTCTTGAGTCGTAATTTCGAACAGTGTTGTCACACACTTCGTTTCCTTCTTTGTTTCAAAAAAATTTCACTTTATTCTCTCTATCAATCATAATCTATTAATGTTAGTTTAACACCGTACAGATTCAATGTTCATAGACAAGTTCAGAATAAGAAATATATGACAACTGCTTGAGGCCGCTCACGCACGGCCTTTTTGTGGGAAACTTATGACGTATTAGCTCCGTTTTTCAAAACGCCTTACCGCCGGAGACAGAAATCCGTCAGGTACGATGAGGTGTAACAATTTTAGGGTCGACCTTTTCTAACCCATCCTTCCTTGTGGGAAGGCATCGTTGCAAATGCTGGCTGTCTGAGGAAAACACCTTTCTCCTGCCATACCCTTCTTCAGTCAGCAGTACGACTTAGGCCGCAGACCTTGAGTTACTGCTTTTAGTCTTAACGTCCTCCAATCGACCTGACTGGCATGGTAAAACCTACAGGACAAATGTTGCAGCCACTAAAGCTCGGTTGGGTCATCACGACAGGCAAGTCCGACCACCACATCAAGGTAGCAGCAACGGTTGGGAACGCCTGGAAGTGGGCGACAAGATTAAGAACCATAAATCCCAAGGATAACAGATTACAATAAAAAAACATTATTAAGCCTATCAGCGACGTGGCTCAAAAAGTCAAAACTTAGTGACACAATTGGCGATAAAGAGGATCCAATTGTCTACTGTTTGAAGCATTTTCATAAGGTGGAAATATTGGGTGAACAACGCTGATGTTACGCGTACGGGATATGTCAAGTCTGTCGATGGGGTCATGAATTTTTATCGACTGGAGGTCGTGTTAACTATACCCAGCTATATCCTACTTAGATATGCTATCCTGGTTAAAGTAAGAGCTGAAAATATAATATGAACACTTACGAGGAGATTGGTTGTCTGAAATTTTCGCTTCATTCAGCAAACGATGTAAAGTTTGGCATGCAGTACTTAAATGAGTTCCAAGTGAAACAGTACTTTGTAACATAGGAGGAGGTGGTGTTTCAAGCATTCTGCTTGGAGTAAAGTAAGTACTGTGATCGGAGTGAGGATAATGAGTAGCAATTTCAGCATTTAAATTTTCCATAACATCGGTCTGCATAGCAGCGTTTTCACGTAGTGGTAGCAACCTTGCTTGAATTTCTTGATCCACACCATTATTTGAGCACCCAGTAAGAGAGATATAGTCGCTCGACTGAACCGAGTTTTTGGTTGGTTTTAGTGATGAACAAGGGTGGTGTTCGTTGAGGGGACCCAATGTGACCTGTTTTGTCTCGTAAGACAACTTTCGTTCTTGTCTAACTTCGTAGTTATCTGAACATTACAAAAGCATAACAGTGAACGAGATCTTTAAAGACTATCAAAGCGATAAAATAAGGAAATATTATCTAATCAAACGGCACATTACTACCTCAACAGGGAAAAAAGTTAAACACTTCCAGTCTAAACATAAATACACCGGGGATACTCACTTTTAATGAACAGGTCTTTATAACAACTGCAACCGAGAAGTATGGATAATAAAAAACACAAAGTAGTTTACATTACACATCAAATAAATGGGGTGAGAACGCGAAAATGAACATTTATGAGATTATAACACTGAGATACCATCAATTTTTTAATAAGATATAATTTTAACCTTTATAAAGAACCGTTTGTCATGAATCGGGTATTATTGGATTTGATCAGAACTTACCATATACTGTACTTGCGTGAGGAAGATTGGCTTCTACTGCAGCATTACAGAAGAGACCACCAATGAATGAACTGATGTCATCCTCATCGGTGCATGTGTTCACAGACACAAGTTCGTGTGTCTGGAGTGTATGAGAGCATGGTTGTGATACAGTGATCGGTGTATATAACTGTTCAGTTTGTGTTGAGGCCTCCAAAGAAGAATTGTTTACAGGGACTGCGTAAAGATTGCAGAAATTTCCTAAATCGGGTTTTAAAACCACTGACGTATCGCTCGAATTTATTGCAGATTCAGAGAGATTAACCTTAAAGTGCAGGAAGACATAAGAAAATTTAATTTAATAAAGTGGATTAACAATAATAACTGAAACATTTGAACTTTATATCAGTACTTAAAGCTCAAATAACGTTACTCCTAATAAAGCTTCTCTAAACATTATGATAATTCTAAATCGCTACATGAAAAAAATTGTGGTTTTACTAGAATAGGATACTACCATAGATGACTGGAAAAGTATTAAAAGACAGTAAGTTTAACACAACAGCAGTAACTGGGCTTCAACAAGCACCTGAGTAAAGAATAGATCTTTGTAGACAGCCTGGCCTCGATTCAAGAAAGATAAGATAGAGACAGCAATCAACAACACTCAAACAAAAGCAGGGGGATTCAAGGCACATGCTGAATATACAGAAGCAAACGAACGATTGGAAAAGGTTGCTAGAGCTGACAAACGGAAATATGCAGAAAACCTAGCAACCATAGCAGAAAAAACTGCAAGAGAAGAAAGTACGGAATGACTGCATGGTGCAGCAAAGAAGCTTACAGGGAGACATGGTACGCCAGAGTGGCAAGTTAAGAATAAAGCAGAAAACTCAATGACTGAGGAGTGGGGGCACAAGTGAACAGAGCACGTAGAGAAACTTCAACAGATCAGAACCACTGAATCCACTGGACATCGAAGCAACACACACAGATCACTTTATTGATGATGCCCCACCAACAACAGAAGAAATTAGTACATCTATCAGACAAACTAAGTGTGGGAAAGTGGCATGAGCAAACAGGATATCAACTGATGCACCAAAGTCAGATATAGAAATAACTACGAAGATGCTCAACATTCTCTTCAGAAAGATTTGAGAGGGAGAACAAGTACTGATGGACTGGGAGGAAGGATGCCTTATCAAGATACCGAAGAAAAATTTTAGTGAGAGAACTATAGAGGTGTTATACTACTGTCAGTACCAGGCACAGTCTCCAACAGTGTCGTTGAACCGAGTGAGAGACCTAGCAGACGCCCAACTTCGAGACAAATAAACTGGCTTTCGTAATAATGGAACATGTACCGACCAAGTCTCGACACTACGGAACATTACTGAACAATCAATTGAATGGAACTCATTTATAAATCTATACGTCTACTTCCTTGACTATGAGAAATATTTTATACAAGTGAGAATTAGTTAAGAATTCCCTACAATGCGAAACGTGTAAATCCCTAGAATTTTGATTGTTTGACAGCAAAAGGGTGCAATAAAAAGCATCAAGTAATTTATATCTTACCTGGACATTTGGATTCGGAAAGATTTGTGTTGAAAGTGTACGAAGAGCCGAAAGAGCACTTGTATATAAAAAGTTCATATTTAAACACCCCAAAACATTGCTGTTCAGATTTTCTACATTCACATCACTTACGTTAGGTACAGTAACTGGTAAAATAAGAAGTGGGAGAACTAATGGGCCACATGATCCACTAGGAGGGATAGGATTACGTGCAACATACGAGCTTGGAATTGATGTATTCTTCGAAGGCGATCTGTTTGGAGTATTTTCGACTTTAGGAATAGAATTAAGAGATAAAGTGTTACTGTGCCCACTTCTTCGGTAATGCTGAAGTAAGTGCTTTTTACTTGAATAAGACCTGAAACAAAGTGAACAAGAATACGTTGCTCCACATAGTTTTTGATGATAGGCATGATATGAGGGAGTAGGGAAGAAATGTTTACATTTGTTACACTGGTAACTTTTCTGCATATGAACATGCTGGTAATGCTATAATATAAGAACATATTAATCAATAATCTCAGCATACCTGTTTTAATCTCCAGTAAGTGCTGAATCCACCGCCTAAACCAATATTGTGTTTACATGTAGCCACAGGGCAATGATAGATATAACTAACATTATACCTTTGCTTGGAATAAAATGCTACGTCTTTTGCATTCTGAAATAATAATACACATTAGAAGATGCAGACTAATATTCTACCTTCATGATCTTATGAGTTTTAATCTGATGAGCCCGTAAGTTAGCTTTTGTTTTCACTTTGATTCCGCATAACTCGCAAACATAAGTTGGTAATGGCAATTCTGTTAGTTCTGATTCTGAAATAACTACATGCAAAACGCTCGATTCTCTAATAGGAAAATTGTTGACTTTTTGGTCGTTGTCCTTAGATTCCGAAGGGAAAGAACGATAAACCTCACATGTCCCCATAATCTAACAGAATAATGGAACAGCAATGACCACAAGTTAGGAGTCATAGATTGACTTACCATAGTTTATCTCAAGTGATCACTTAATTTTTTTAAGTACCGTGAACAAAATTACGAGCTTTCTCAAGCCAGAGAATATAAGTAGACAAAATTTTACAAATGTCAGTCAACAGTTATTCACAAAATGCTCTTATACCTTCTCAATCAAATTTTTGCTGTTTTTGACTTGGAGCCCCTTAAAATTTTTCAATACTAATAGAATAAAGGCCTATGCAACACAATCAGATAACAGGCGATCAAATGCTGGGCAGGAGTGGGTAAACTATTTATTCACGTTCCTGTATGCAAAGATTCTTACGAATGTACATCCATCTCCTCAAAGCAGAAAATAAAGGAATACTGAAGATCAAACTCGGAATGATATAATGAAATAAATATCTACTAATTAAGTTAGCTTGCCGTGCTTTGATTGGTAGCTATGCGAGAGCTACGGGCAAACCATACACCAGGGGCTGATGGGAAGAGTTGCCATCTTATTTTGCTGTATTTCGTATTATCACGAAAGCCGTAAGAGTGTTTACAGACAACTATTCAACAAGATGCTCACTACCCAGTGGTAAGAGACCATCAGTAATAATCTGCTTTAGCAGGGAAAACTTAGCTTCTAGTTGAGGGGGGAAATTAGGGAAAAACTCTGGAGGTGGATAAGATTAAGGACACTATAAAACTACATCACAAAACAAGACTCGACATGGAATCCTCAAGACAGGAGAAAACGATGAAGACCAAGAACATGTGAAACTGAGAACCAAAGACAAATATCAAGACCATGAATAGCACTTGTCAACAACTCTGAAAGAAAGTTCAGGATATAGTTAGTTAGGGATCTCTGGTTGATGGCCTAAGCCATACGAAGATTAAATAGTCGAGGCGACCTCTAGTTAACTTGTGAGTGAAGCTGACCTCCAGTTCTGCTGGATTCAGATAGGTCTTCCATAGCATTATACGTAATAACTCCAAACTTAATGTATCTTCAGTAGGCTAACTCAAAACCGAATTAAAACTTAACTGCACATAGTACGACGAAAAGGGAGGTGTCGCACTATCTTCCTACGACGGACGAAAAAGGAGACTTCGTAGTCAATTTATTAAACCCTTCCTGTCTTAAGGAATGTCCACTTTATTTCTCTCGTGTTAGCCCTTATCATCTATTTTGAGTTCCCTTGAGCAATTCACGGAACTTACAATCCTGAGGCCTTAATATCGACTCGAATGACAAGAAAACAAGGAACAAACCTAGTAGAATAGGACAATCAAAAGCCTTCTTCATTCATATTAAACCGGAAATTTATAAATGTAAGCAGTGCTTCACAACTCACAATAATTCTACACAAAATTTACACAGACTCGAGACAATCATCAAAAATAACGCGGCATAATTATAATTCCAGTCTATTTCTCCTAGCATACCATTAACTAAGTAGAATATAATACGATACAGAAGTAACGTACTGCGAGCGACCAGGATGGTTTTGAACTGACCGCCTGTAAACAAACAGCATCCAATTCCAGTGATATTCTTGGCAGTGTAGTATGTACACTATTTGTTTGATCTAATTGAGAATGTTTTTAAACTTTGATCCATGCACCTCTAGATGACTTGAAGTATTTTTGCCTAAGCTCTTGAAAAACTGTTCCCTACTTTGCATGATGAGCTATATTGAACGAAGAACATGTTCATTTTCTGAGTGAATATCGAACAACAAATGAAAGGCTAGAATATTACGGCAGCTAGTTATGTAGCGGCAAGTAAATCCCAAAAATCAATAGCTCTGTGAGTCTCCAGCATTTGATTTTGACCGCATAAGTTTTACTAGACTCACCTAGCTGACGGCGTTCGACCATTCAACAGCACCAGAAAATGAGTAGGTGAACCGTGTTACGCATCCTTTTGAACTATTGGCCAGTTAGACCAAATGTTCCTTGACATGTTTACTAATTCTAAATATATCTTGAGACTCCTTCATTACTGACCTCTGACTTGAGCGGGTTGGCACCTAGAATAATAAGGAAGTCAATGGTAACGGAGTAGTCGAACTCCGAATACTTGCGGCATAAAGATGGATTTCGTCAAAAAAGGAAGCCAAGTAGCTCCAGGAGTACCATACAGCCCGAACCAACATTATTTCGTGGGAGAGGAGAAAGTCAGAAAATTTAAGGTCAGGGTCTAAACTTCAAGTCTTCAAAAAAAGGGCAGGTGTTATGACAGGATGAAAAGTCAAAATTAAATTGATTTACTCATTATGATTTTTATTCAATATCAATTCCGTTTAATTTATTTTAATGACCACTCAGTGTAGCATTTGTTTCGTTTTCCCCCATGACATTTTACTCTTTATAAAATACGATATTCTTGTATGAAATATTTTCCATATATGTGATATATTCTGATTATTAATCAAAAAAGGGTGTATAACCAATATATAAATGAGTGTATTTCCGACTAGACGGGATAGGATTACTCGTGCTTTTGGCTACTTGAGGAATATATTTCCCCGTTTCGAACTTGGACTTCTCTCTCTAGTTAGCAGGGCTGGGACGCATCAGAATAGCTAGCATATTGGTCTTTGGTCACAGAGTCTTTATTCTGTTCCCAGACTAGGTGAATTCGTAATCGCTTCAAACATAGCATTATGTCAAAAGATGTTTTTCCTTATGCTTAAAGTTAGTGTTTGCAAGAAACAGGTAGTTATCTGAGCATAGCTGCAACAGACGGTCGCCATTATCTGTTCTTTGAGCCATGACACCATAAAATCCACTCAGGTGTCTTTCCTTTTCGCTTAGTTTACCTACTTGAGCATTAAATTAATAGAGCCTAACTTTTTGGAGGAGGTCGGAAAGCTTCCTGTAAAACTCATCTTTTACTCCATTTGAGCTGCAATCAGTGGGAGAGTATACAGAGACGACGAAGAGGCAACGACGAGTGTCCCTAACTTTCCGAGTCCTTATTGTTCTGTTTAGTCGGACAGCGCACAAAAAACTTTCTGCTGGGATCCAGTCTAAGAGAGCTAGTTCTGCCCTAGGACTCAATGCTATACCTACACCAGCGAGCCTGTTGTCCTATTTGGCACAGTGCTCGAACGTTAAAAGCTCCTACATGTAGTTTAGAGCATGATTTCAGGAGACCAGGAATAACGTTCCGCGTACCCGAATCGTTTACATTAGCAGCGTGAGGTGATAAAGGAACGTGAGAAGGATTAGTCGTGGAAATAAGAGAGTTACTAAGAGGTGTAGGAAGGATTTGATTGTGACCAACTTGCTTTCATGTGCTGATACGGGTATGAGGGCTGATGTCACTTCCTGGTCACCTACACCGTGGAAGGATATTTTATTGAGAAACCTGAAAAGGAAGTTGGATTAGTGTTGATCTTAACGACCTGAGAGTGTGACCGCAGAGCCCAAGGGACAACTGCTTGAGGCCGCTCACGCCCGGTCATGGACAACTGGACAGATATACATTCGCATAACTCTTTTTTTCCGCGTTTTTTCTATTATTTTTGTGATTGTTTCTTGAGTCGTAATTTCGAACAGTGTTGTCACACACTTCGTTTCCTTCTTTGTTTCAAAAAAATTTCACTTTATTCTCTCTATCAATCATAATCTATTAATGTTAGTTTAACACCGTACAGATTCAATGTTCATAGACAAGTTCAGAATAAGAAATATATGACTGGGATATCAAGACTCGTTAAATGCTCGTGACCATCATCTTTGTTACATATATATCATATATCTAGTAAGATTAGCTTGGTTTTCAAGGGACCTTAAGAAGTACGGTAGCCTCTTGGCTTGGTAAAGTTAGGTGATCTCCAATGACGTTACTTAGATGTAAAACTACGACAGTATGTCACTTACATTATTTTAGACAACCACACCAGGAATCCACATAGGAATCTAACAGGTCTTTACCTCATTCGATCAGCCTAATCTATCCGTTCGTTTATAATTTGAAAATTATAGGGTTTGGGTGGCTGCGTCACAGAGGATACTGCATCTTTTTCTCTCATTAGTCGAGTCATGTTTGTTTAATTAAAAATATACTGGGTACCATGATATGACGGAGTTGGAACTCAAAACCTAATAAAATAGACGTATTATTCGTGTAGGGTAATGACTGTTTTGAATATATGTTTAAATCCAAAGCATTGCATACATGGGTGTACAATTTTTCTCTGTCTTAACTCTTAACCCACAGATGATTATTGAAGTACGTACAGATTCAATCTGCGAGCTATCTGTAATATCAATACATATAATAATACTACTATTACTATCGCTAATGTCATAACTACTTCTTTGAATAAACTTACTGCTCATCACTGCATGTTTGATATTTAACATAAGAGCTTCTTCAGAATCACCTAATGACCTGACAGAACTCGGCACTTAATTTTTAAACAGTTGTGCTTTAAATCTTTTCTGTCATCAATTTTGAGATTAATTGAGAGTCAAGAAAAGAAAATACGATGACGAATAATGAACAACCAAAAAAACACTCCGGTTTTAACATGTTTCAGATAATCCGGAAGTGCCAAAAAACAACTGATTGACTTACAATGCTAGAAGATAAAGTCAGATAATAATCGGGGCCTAGTATTACAACTGATGTAGGTTAACTATGAAAACCCCACCCCTTACTATTTTCACAAATTATTGTCACGTTTTAACTTTTACGTTATGAACCTGAAGCTTTTTCACTCCTCAATAATTCGATTATTCGCCCTACATTAGACGCGACCATAGCTCTCCGTCTCATCAACCTCTTTCGATAACTATAACACAGATTCTAAAAATCTGACTTCAACAAATATTAACACCCGTTCTTAGGCGGTTAGTTCGAATGTCAAGGACGCTTGTGCCCTACCCTGGTCACTAACTTTAACATGAAAGCGTGGAAGCTACGTAAGTTGCACTCATTGTTAATTGTGGGGATGGCGTAATATTCAAATCAAGTCATCTCCAATGTTTAATTGGATCCGACCAATGATCCCCTTGTTTTGACTCGATAATGACCACAATCCATTATAAACTGCCTTGTAATAAGTGTATATTGTTCGGTTCAAGATTCTAAATAGTACGCTATCGAAGAAAAAGACTCTCAGTGACGAGGTGGGGCATTTTCATCTTTTTAAGCGTTGGCTTTTTAAGTAACATTTGTGACAAAGTATTTAGGTGAACCAGAAAAAATACTTCTGAATGAGAAAACAAGAAAAAGAAATAAACGTCTTTAGAAAGTAGTCGGAAGTTTATCGACTTCTCATGAATGAATGCTTTAGTTTCGTCCTTCTCGGTATTCTAACCTTAAATCTAACACTCTAACTTTCCTATATTGCATGAGATACAACGTAATTTCAGTGGGCCTTGCTTTTTCGGACATATATTTACTGTCGTCTCCCTTGAATTTCCGTATCAGTACTCCGTTCGATCGTCATGTCTCGTAAATATTGTGTTACGTTCTCATCAAGAGCTGTTAATATGTGGTAGACCGAATACCCGTTTTTCTCTTATTGCTACCTAAATCACATTCTTAATTAGTATCCGCGCTAACAATAAAATCAACTAATTGTTCCTGAATTATTAGATGGTATTCTTTAGCTTAGCCACCAGTTCGAACCAATGTATACCCTTGTCCATCCGCCTAGGGAAAACATCGATTTTAGGAGCACATAAAATATTCAGTTTTATTCATTTATTTTACTTGAAATATAAACATTGGTACAAGTAGGTACTTCCTTAAGTAAATTCGGTAAGACTAATTTGTGGACGACCTTTGAGTGACTAGAGCGGCCTTGATAATATCCACCTACTGACTAGGGCTAAATGAGGGTTTCAAACCTATGTGAAGAATAAGGATTGTGATTTCCATTTGATGTTTATGGATAAAAGATATATTTAAGGTTTCCTTTACGAACTGATATCAGAAAAAATGCCAGGACGCTATTTAGCCAAGTGGTTAAAGAATTTCGCGCCAAAATCTAAGATCTGTTATCGTAAATCTGATTGGTTCGTCCATAAATTATAGTCTTACCGTAAATTCCACATGTTAGTTGGGATATTTTTAAAATATGTGGGCCAGTTTTAGCGTTTAATTGTATGAACTTTTTATTACTACCCATATCATGTTTGCTTGCTTAAATTTATTTATTTAAATATAGACATTTGTACGAAGAGGCACCAAATAAATATGCGCGACACTTCGTCATCGGATTTGTGTGAGGGTTGGAATACTGCCCGTGTACTCAAACCGAAGCACGTGGTCTTCTTAGGAGGCCACACTGATCTGTCGACCGAAAGGTCTGATCCATAAGGCTGTTGAGCGATCTAAGGAGATACAGTCTCATGGTATTTATTTGAACACACATATTGACACAAGGGGGCACCAGATACATATTCGCCGCACAACAATAGTGAGAATGGGGAGAGATATCGAATAAAACGTGCATGTAAAAAGAAAAAAAGAACAATACCGACAACAGATTAGTGTAAGGTATAATAATAATAATAATTTCACAAGTTGAAATCATGAGCCAATTGAAGCTAGACCACCATGGAAAGCCTGGAAGCACTGGACGGCCGGTTCGTCCTAGTATGGGACTCCTTAGCATTGCGCATCCACGAACCCGCCCCCGCGGGATTCGAACTCAGGACCTACTGG